CTACATAGAATGGAGAAAACGAGCCTTTTCTAAAAATAATTAACCGACAGACGAAAAATCTTAGTAGTATAATACATTAGCACTGCTGGTAATAGTAAGGATTGGAGCTCTGCGGCTAACGGCTAGTCATAAGATTGGTGGTTAGCTGTTACAAAGAGAAGCATTGACGAGAGAATGTCGAAATGGCCGGTATAACTACTAACGACAGTTCGCCGTATAGTGAGGTATTATTGGCAATGAAGGCTGATGCTCGCGATTACGAGCCGACACGTCAAGTGGCGCATGCTTAATACCTCATATGGGTCAGCAGTTGATTTAATAATGTGGTATGTACTGTGGAACGTTTGAGCAGATTCTAGACAAACTCCGACAGTGACTAAAATAAAAGTTATAACCACGAATGAATGTTACTCATAAGAATCCAAGACGATCCTGTGATATTTACCGCATACTTATCGCAGAGATCGCATGTAAGATTCTGTTTTGAAATATGGCCAAGATTTCCTTAACTTTTAATAATTTTGTTGTAGGCGGAAATTTTATCCTGAAATTTGGCTAAAGGAAGCTTGTTTGAGTGTTAACAACTTTTTGTGTGAGGAAACTCTGTTCTGAGATTTGGCCAACGAGAACTTGTTTGAATTTTAACAAATATATTGCATGTAAGATTCTGTCTTGAAATATGGCCAAGATTTCCTTGACCTTTAATAATCTTGTTGTAAGCGGAAATTTTTCCTGAAACTTGACTAAAGGAAGTTTGTTTGAGTATTAACAACTTTTTGTATGAGAAACTCTCTTCTGAGACTTGGCCAACGAGAACTTGTTTGAGTTTTAACAAATATATTGCATGTAAGATTCTGTTTTGAAATATGGCCAAGATTTCCTTGACTTGATAGTAACTGGCAATAGCACAGTGTAAACTATTTGACCCTGGCAAAGATATAAAGAGATAAAGATGTTTAATGCAAAAAGAAACGGTAACAATATAGAAAAATATACTCCAGAAGTTTTGGGTAAAAATGACTAGTTGAGACTTTAAGCACTTGAAGATAGAATTTCTTTGATTGCTTTCTCCCTTTTATTTCAATACAAACGTCACCTTAATATGGATATGTGAGACACAAAATTACAAGTAGTAAAAGTTACCTTAATGAGTTCTGATTAACTAACCATTAAGTTGACTACAGTTCGGAGAAAAGGCTGTTTGAAGTTGAAATGTTAATGGAAATAGGTACGTTAGTTTAAAAGATTAATTCAAAAGTATGTAACCAAATCTATCTTATAATAACAACACCACGCCACTTTTTACATAGATGTCCTTAGACAATCTATAATGATGGCTAAAATTTAACGAGAGAACAGATTACGGCTAAAAGGACGTACGGGAAGGCCACGAGGCTAAGAAGCTGAGTGAACGCACTTAAAGGTTTCTGTGTGAGCGTAAGAACAGCATTAAAAGCTGAGGGTCGGTTAAAGAATCGCCCACCAGTGTTGCTTTTAATACATTGTTCGCTTATTTATAAAATTTTATTTCGACACGAATATAAACACTGTTTTCACCTTGTTATGCAGTAATTAAGGCTGGTCTTGAAAACGAAGACAAATGCAAAGTCTAAAATACATCTTAACGACTTCAACCGGTCCTCTGGCAGCACTGCCTTGACCTAACGGAATAATTTGATTAAGTGTTGTGGTCTCGCTGACCGTTGTATTCACTGTAAAGACGATCGCTAAAAGCATTGTCGAGACAGAAAAGTCGAGCAATTCCAGCAGACGCGCGGAGAAGCGCTCTGCGATTGTCCCTTCGATTGCAGGTGGACTGCAGATGCCCTTACATAACAAATGTTGAGATGTGTCAAGTATTGTCGTGTTGCTGGGTCTCGGAAGCAGCTGCAATTATTCGTGACGACCGCGCTCATGTTCCTGTGAAGTCTTGAGAGGCACAGTAGGTCATTACTACGGTCTGGGTTGTCGCGCAGCGAGTTGAAAAAAGGTCAACAAAACGGGTGCAGGAACCCTATATCTAGAACGAACAGAGGCGCCTTTACAGGCACACGCAGCAGCTTTATGAAATCTAAACCTATCTTTGCGAAAACGTGCGTTGACAGTTTTACAGTAACCACAAGTGGAGCAAACCACGTTCGTGGTTTGATTTTTTCCACGGATAAATGCCTACGCAAAATTCAAATAGTGGACGCACTCCCGTATCTTCGCCCTCACCTTCCTATCAGAAAAGTAATGAGACGTCAACGGGTGGCCAATCTTTGGTAAGTCCGGACGGCTTTACTGCAAAACAGCGAGTACTGCCAACTTCCGATGGCTTGGAATGGTTCAGCATGGCTCACCAACGCTAAAGCGATTTAATAATTCTATTGGAGCATGGTTTCCACCGCGACCCAACGCAGGCCAGACCTGTCGCTTGTTGTTGCTTTATGAACTGCCGCCACATCGAATGTTACGTTTCACTGTGCCGCGCTAATGCCTTATGACAAAATTATATTCCAAGAGCCTAAAGGGCCACCGGGTCCTAGAAGTCTCTCTTACTTGCTCTATTTTTACGCACCGTCCACATGGGTATAGGTGGAATTTGTTTACCGCTTAAAAAAAGTCGGTCAATTTTCCAGGAAATTTTGCAAAATAAATCGACTTGTCAGGGCTCCTTTCAAAGCCATCAATGCCGCCTCATAGGGCTCAACCCACGCAAAGAAAACGCCTACCTTTACTAAATCGTATATCGGTTTGTGATTTTGGCAAGGTCCTACGAGTCGGCGGTAGAAAAACGCTAGTACCAGGGAGTTCCGTAATTGACGATTAATAGCAGGCGGCGTTATGGCGTTTATAGTCGAAAGCTTTTACGGAACGGGAACGATTCCCAGAGAGAAACCCTATGTATAAAGTATGCGATATTACGCGATAGACCACTCGTTTTTGTGACTGTCAGTTCCTGGACAGGCATGTCATCTTTTCCGTAGGACAAATACCGTTAAAGGCCAAGAGTCTGGTTTCTTCAGACCCTCTACGAAGCGGCATATTATATCATCCATATTCCCATAAAATTCTCCGCTGTCACCAAAGTCGTAGCATGGCGAAGTTTTTCCGCTGAAAACTGGCAATGGACTGGCCGACCGGAGAATATTAAATACATACAACCGGTCGAAACCAGAATGACATGTATAGCTACTGTACAGTTTATACATCAATATATACGTTTCCCGGCTAGACTGCAACAAAATTTGTCGCTTCTAAATTACATCAGATATTTTAGTAACAATTTGCACATGTGCCGACAAGGTCACATTTCACAGATGTGTTTGTTTAATGACACAGGCATTTATTTCATCACAACTTCGATTCGAGAACTAACCACTCAAGTAATTCATAAAAGTATATTAGTGCATTCAGACTATGCAAAGTCTCGTTGAAACAAGCTACGCAAGCCCCCCACCTTGAAATGAAAAAACTAAGAAAATACCATTGAAGCTTGTATGGGCAACCCTTTATTTTTTTATTTTATATTATAGCACTGTGTTGGATACGGTGGATGACATAAAGCCCCCAACTGCATTTTCGGCACCATGACTCCGTGAGTTTGAGGTCAAGCGTTATCGCGCAATGGGAGTGGTTTAGCTCTGTTTACTTACTTCGGCGTGTTAATGCGAAGTCCTTCATCACATCCTCCAGTTATTAACAGTACAGTGCTGCTGGAATCGACGAACCAGGAGTCATGAAGCTGACATCGATAACATCTGAACTAGACCACCAAACAGACACATGTGTAGCTATATTGTGGTCATAACAATAGCTCTGCTGATATTTTGCTTTGTCAACTTAGTTACCTCCACGCACTACCGTGACCGCCTGCGGTTATTGCAGAAGACCAATTTTCTATCACAAGTCACACCTGTCACTTCTGTGCAAAAAGTGAATCACTATTTTAATATGAGAGCGAAAAGTTTCTACGTTCTCCTTTGTGACCCTAGCTTGTGTGGCATCCATTTATCTAATTTGTTTTTTTGATCTTATTAATTTGAGCGAGATACTATGGTACGTTTATATAGCCCTAACATATTTGTTAACGCTTATGGGTCTTAATTCCCCGTTGCTCACCCTCACAAATAATCTTCGACAAGATTAATTTTCGAAATTCCTTTGTCGCAATTTTTGAACTAATGATTTACCGTGTTTCTAGGGTGCTATGGCAAGCCGTCTTCGCCCACTAGTTTAACTGCCAAACTCATATTCTCAAACTACTTAAAATTTTCTCATTCCCATGGCCCACTACAAGTCTTTTACTAAAAGCCCGACTGATGATGTTCAAGTGAACGGTTTCACAAATGCAAGTGCATCTCCAATAAAAAGAAAAGTATTGCAGAATATCACAATGTTATAAAATAGCATTGTTATGTATGTGTGCCTTCTATCAGAACGAACCACGAATTGTATCTATATACATTAGTTGAAGCGAGAATCGTATCTTAAAAATTCGATAGTGATCATTTAAAATCCTTAGAGGTAGTAGGAGAGATTATCCCAATATAAAACTGACTCAACTGTGTAACACATCTGTAAATAAATCACTCTAATACCATTTTATACTTGTATTGTACTACATACTTTTTTTCCTGATATGGTATATCTCGGTATGGCTTTTCAGTGGTGTACACAGAAATTGTCATTGAACAGCGCATAACCATTTTAGCCAACTAACCGACAAAGCCTCCTTGTACCTTTTGAATATGCCACACTCGTGTCCGTGCCCTTCTGCAGTGACATACTTTTTTTTCCCCCTTTAAGATTCGATAGTAACGGGTTTACGAACCACGCACAGTGGATTGTAGCACGATAAATTTTGTAGATGGGTTATTTGAACAGAGTTTTCGCTAACGATGAACGGTAGTATACTATCGAAAAATACTGGAAAATGGAAAAGATGAGCAGGTCTGGCAAAGCAAATGCAGAACTTCGCTATGGTATTTCTCCTTGGAAATTTGTCAGAAACTTACCTGGTACCTAATCCGAGGTAGAATGATGACATTTGGCCGAGATCAATCGCATTGCCATGTGAGAAGAGAATGGTGAATCGCGCATTTGGAGAACACCGGACCAGCATGCACGCTACGCGGTTACCTCGGGATGTCCTATATGCATAATGCCAAATAGAAGATAAAGAATTCGTTAAGAGATATAAGGCGCAACCGGTCTGGAATTAGAATACAAGGCCAGATACATTCAAAAAATGTACTGTAAAGTTTGAGACATTTAATTATATAAGAAATTTATTTGGTTAAATCAAATACGAAAATTGTTAAGTACTAACGTGTGTAGTACGGCATAATATATTCCTGTAAAATTGGCCAAGATACGCATTTCTTCCATTTCAACCCAGAAAATATTTTATTGTTCTTTAATCAAATTTTTTTGTCATTAAATATTTTTAAGAATAGGAGAAAAGATATATACAAATGAGTATTACAACATGAATAGTTAGCAACTATACGTGAGTTTGTACTTTACCACAAATTATAGTATTGAGATATTCTTACTACTTTGGTTTGCATGAAGCAAACTCAGAGCCGTCTTCTTAAAACCTCTCTGAAATATTCCTATGATTGAACAGCTTTAGAAAAATATTTATCATATAATTAGTAATATATATCACTTAACGGTACTAAAGCCTTTCGGTATTAAAGAGTGATTGCAATATTTTTCAGGTAATTTTTGACGCTAAATGAGCTCCTTAAACTCGGTGATGACATGTAGCTTAACGCGTGAGTATTTTCTGTAAATGTATAGTTTCGTTTATATACAATATAAAAAATAAGTTGCTCCTATTATTTTGTTTATTTAATTGAGGTTCGCGCAGTCAGTTAAATGCTGCTTTCTTGACTATACCCAGGATTTTTTTGAGCGCACTACACCAATACATTTGAATATAAGCATAACGGGCCGTAATTGACGGGCATAAGCGAGGCCGATCGATGGAGGAGGCCGCTCTAAGAGCACGCACCTTGAAATCATCCGTTACATAACTAAGTGCCCGTTCGGGAAGTTATCTAGTTGAAAACTCAAAATGGATACGCAGACGTCATCACTGTCGTAGCAACTTATTATGGAGCCAATCGTGCTTTGGTGATACAATGTACGGTCGAAGTGTAAAAACAGGAACAGCGGTTTGCATTAAGACCAATTGCAGAATTTGTATTTTTAGCTAAATCAAGTCTATATCATAAGCGTTACAAAAAAGATGGACAAGAGCTAAGTCCATAGCAAAGTGAGTTAAAATTGTTTCAGCCGCAAGTAAGGGCCTTTTCTAATTGCGTTTACTTGTCTTCTGTTGAGCCGCAAATGAAGCTTCAAGGGCGAAAAGCGCCTTCTCCCTACGTACTATTTACACGTGCAACAAAGCGGAGGTGTTTAGAAACAATTTTAACGATGCTCCTAAAAGATGCACTCAGAAGTACGGTTAAACATTCTAGACAGTTATTTTGTTGCCATTTTTACACGTATTGCACATATTACGAAATGTCAGTGATCTACAATAGTACCTGATAATAATTGTTACTATGATTATTATGTTAAGTTTGTAAGATTTCATATATGTATCTAACTACCAGCTAATAAACGGTTTTGTCGACTTTAGTATCATAAAAGTCAACAAAACCGTTTATTAGCTGGTAGTTTGGGTAAGTTTGGCCTGACGAAAGAACACTAATGCGATAACGACATGTTCGGAAAAATTGATTTTGTCAGAAAAGATAGGATTTTTATTCGCAAACATTAACTGTTTGGCCAATTTAATCAGCAATGGTTGGGAACTGGTAAAAGATATCAATGTAAAAGATGGTTTGCACTTCGAGCTCTTACGAAGAGGCATAAAATTCGATTTTCGGTCAAAGCCAACCTTACTCATTTTCTGTGAAGGTGTTGAATATGGTTTTATATTTGCCCACGGAACTTTTAGAAGGTGATGGGAGATGGTAGTGTGTTTTTATTGTTTATTTGCCTGGTTCTGCAAGCGGTTTAGTATTTGGATAGAATTTTGAAAATTGAGGGCGATTTTATTTTAAGATGGTGGAGTAATTGCACGAGTATAACGCTTTAGAGGCAGCATAGTGACTGCTTATTTGAAACAGGAGCAGTGATTACGTAGAGATAATACACCCGTACGGTAAACTTAGGAAACTATAAGGTGACATCTGGAACAATGTAACTAAACACCAAGGCATGGAAACGGAATTATTATGACAATGTATTTGAATCACTAAAACCGAATAAAGCGATCGTACAGCAAAGAAAGGGGTTGCCTCAGTGAGTTTATTGACGAGAGAGCTCCAATAAAAAACGCAATGGAACAACAAGGCTAGACGCTATATCGGAGTATTGGTAGTAGTTTGATACGCTGTTACAACAACAACTAAGGCAGTTGCTCCGATTCAGACTACGCAGATCTGAACATAACTTGGTTAGAGTGAAAAAAAAGTTGTGTTTGCCTGTACCTAATACGAGTCATCTTTAAAGGGATAAATAAGCCCATCAGGCTCGGTATGTACACAGGTAAAAATAGGCGGATATCGTTGGACATGTGTGAGCTGCCGTGACAGACACGAAAACATTTGACAGAATATTTGATCGATATCAAGCTTCGTAATTTTACTTTATTAACTTACTATTTTTTTTCCTATCTGAATAATAACATAGACATGAATATCTCCAAAAAAGGACTAAAGATACAAACATTTTTATTGAGATCGCAAAGAGAAAGGACTTCCATAGTAAAAATTCTTTACATGGGGTCGTCCTAAAATGGGCAGATAAAACAGGTTTTATCTGTTCGCAGCATGCGGAAATAGGATGACTATGTGCTTTATATACTAAAGCCATGTATGCCATTAATCTTTCCGCAAGATTCTCAGTTCTCCAACGTCTGCACTCCGCCATCATCATGAAATGTTTTGGCGCTCTACCATGTTTGTAATATGCACAGAAACCGGTAACGAGTCTTGCAGCTGTCGATTTGGATGTGGCATTATTCGGCCTAGGTTCAGTTGAGACAACGTGACCAACTAAACCTGAATCATCCTTGATTAAAAACATGACATTTTTTAAGAGTAAGCCTCTCACACCCATACACGTGTATGAGTTTGTATGTTGACCCGAATTTCGGAAGTGCATAGTACACGCACGTATTTATTAAAGGGCTTTTCTTAGCCTAGTACACGCACGTATTTATTAAAAGGCTTTTCTTAGCCTTCTTTTGGTGTTAGAAGTGTTTTGTAACTTCCGGCTTTTGAGACTCTTAGCACTCTATTAAAGAAGTCAAGAGGTGCGCTCGGCCTTGTAGCCACGTACACTTTATTTTTGACTTAGTATTGGGAGCGTTTTTCTCTTTCTAGACGCTTTCTTATCATGACTCTACCAACCTGATGCCTCAAGGTCATGACCGTCATTTTTCGTAATTCATATACTCTTTATCCTTTACACCTCCACGTTTGGTGAGTTCCGCAGTATTCTCTCTCGCTTCGTCGTGTTTTCCTCGCCCTTCGTCCTTGCCCATTTTAGGACGACCCCACGTCAAGAATTTTTACTATGGAAGTCCTCTCTCTTTGCGATCTGAGTAAAAATGTCTGTATCTTTAGTCCTTTTTTGGAGATATTCACGTCTATGATATTATTCAGAAATCGATTACGATCATTTATAATTTTTAATGTCTCACAGTTTACGCTCTGTGATATACCTAATTGTCAGCTTATTAGATAAGAATGCTTTTTTGTCATAAGACAAGAAAACATATATTCATGATTTTACATAGCCGCTGCATCATTTGAACTATGAAATTTCACTTTGAATTCAGACTCCAACGATGGGTATGCTGGGTAAAAAAAAAAATTGAATTTACGATACTGACAGTTGTCATCATACATTCTGGGAACTTTCAGCCTTTTCAAATAATACTAACAAACGCGCTCATTGATCGCCATTTAAAAGGGATTAGGTAAAAACCTATCAGCTGCAAATATGAGTTTCAGAGCTTTGAACAAAAGCCCTAAGCTTCGTTAGATTAAATCAGGTAATGGCTTCCCCCAATTTTTTTCAAGAGTGTTCCTTCCCCATTTTTCCTTACTTGTCTACTTCTAACAACCGTTCATTGATGGGCGCGTTGAAAAATGTGCTTTAATAGTATTGTGTTGTAAATGCAATTAAAAGGATATAAAAGATTTCTTCAAAGATGCATATTTCAAGTGGCAAAAAGTGTATTTGCGACACCTTCTGTACCATGCATTTCGTCGAGGTTACGAAACTGCCAAACTAGTCCGAAACACTTGCCTATGATACTATTGTTTAAAGTACTGCGTAAGGATGGTTTACCAAGTTTGAAAACGGTATCCGAGATTTAGAAAATGCCCATTGCTTTAGCCGATCGTCGGAGTCTGATTATAATATCTAAATGCATTTTTAGAAGGCGGCCGACAAACAACTCGGAAATCGGCTAAAAAGATGGGCTGCAACCAGAAAATAGCCGTAACCACCTACCTCAAATCCCTTGAACTTACACAGGAGCTCGGAGCTTGGTGCCTCGTAAACCTTTTAAATCTAACAAGGAATGATTGGCTTCTCATTGCTTCTCAGTGTCACACCCATGAAGGCTACTTAGGACTTAAAAACTCGACATACGAAATTATTATTACAACGCAAGGCCGCCTTCGGCTAACGGGGTTTCATCTTTTCGGTTCGCTAGGCAATAATCCTTGTGGTCTTACTTTACACAGATCAACTTTTACTACCTTCTGATGAGACGGTGGACATGACGACGGGGACTGACGAGAGAAAGAACCATAACCGGTATTACATAACGACATGTAGTCACATAAATAAAACAGAAATCGTGTCTTCTATTCCATACCTAACCTTATATAAAATAAGTTGAGGAAGGCTTTGTAAATTTGTCAGATTAGCTTATAGCTAAGTCGTGCGTTGAATCTTTCAGCAGTAGTTATCTAAATGTGAACCCATACATATTAAATTTATTTCAAGCCTTCGCTGAGGAGAAGCTAAAGTAGTGGATATTGAACATGAAATGCAGCTGCAGATCGTAACCAGTGCCCACTCAAAGATTCAAGTAATATTCAGCAGTGTAGAGTGCCCGTGTACAATATAAATACCAAGCCAGATGTTTTGGTGAGGTTTCCATAATAGTAGCACCGCCCAAAATAGATCGATCTGGAAGAATTTTATGAGGTCCAGAACAGTGTAGGTTATCTACAGTTAGTTTAAGACTTGAACCTCAACAAAAAAAGCCTCTTATATTCAGAGGTGCATTTCGTCCACAAAAGATGTCGTGCGATATACTAGAGTTATGGCTTGTGAATTAGCCGTTCTTATTAATAGTGTACTTATTATACTCATTAACTCTTATTATACGTGACATTAATTCTGCTAATATTAATGTAAACGGAATTCGCAACTGGTATGTTAAAGAAAAAGAAGTTTTTTGTTTATTTTATCGAGGCAAAAGAATGCGAAGGAAATTCTATTGCCTACTTTTCAACTCGTAAGTACACAGCTTTACAGTTTACTAATGCAATTATCAATCGTAAATTTCCATGAAATTATGAAATTACCGGCAATTATCAATCCTGTACCATAAGAAGGTTGCCACGCGAATAAGTAGCACGATGTCCATGTGTCATGTTTGTTGTTTGGTACAACAAATGAAACTGCCGTATATGCACCTGAAATATCTATTATTTTGCGGTGCTTCGTCACGGATTAATGCTACAATGGAGCGATTAAGCGCAGTTTAGGGTTACTGTTTTATATTAATGTGTACAAGTGTATGGGAACATATCACAATGGCTTAAAATAATATTCAGTTTTATTAATCTGGACTGTTTATCTGGACAATTTGTTACAAATGGGGAATGATTGGAATTCTTTTTTTGGTTCGATTTGTCTATTGGTAATTCTCTGTAGCAGTTCTGAATCTACAATGTTAGAGTAAGCATATCTGAAGCTATATGAAATCTGTGCAATAAAGCGAAATATATTTCGCTAACAAATTTTAATTTTGGTAATGGGGAAGATGTGGATATTTGAAATAAGAAAAACTACTCTCTGAAGTCAGCCTAGCCTAACTCGTCCGTTAATAAGTCGAAGCTAATTTTCCTAAATTACATATAAAGTATTAAGTATTATGTAATTTGCCAATAATATAATATTAAAATATTAGACATTTTAGACACATAGTTAGCAGTAAAATTCCAGTTCACTCTTGTAATTTTAAATACATGTCATTGCACTAAGTTAATCTAAAATAACTGTCAACAATGTGAATTTAATTTTTGGTGACTAGTCACTAAGGCAAACGATTAAAACCCGAAACCCCGCCCTTTTTTATATAGATTTTTTTATTCAGAAATTGTCTCTGCACTTGATATTATATATATACTAAATATTCGATAAACCATAATTTTTAAGTAAGTGATAATAAATAATAAAAATCAAATAAAAAATAAAAAATAAAAGTACCCTTCAATTCAGATACCATATTTGTACTGCAATAAAAATTAAAGGAAAGACAAATTTGCGAGATGATATCATATTTATATGTGCGTCAGCGTAAATGAAAAGGTAATTGCGGCAATTTTATTCGAAAACGTTTGGACCAAATGCGCAAATATTTTCAACTTAAGTCTTTTCTCATAAGTTTTCAACTTAATAATAACTAAGATAATATCTAATAAGAGTTAATAATAACAACTATCTATGTTAGTATTATGAACCTATTTCAGCGAATTAAGAAGGATCATGCACAATTTCCGTAATATAAAAGATATAGACCAGATACGTCATGTTAGTGGAAGGGCTAGGCGTAGTTATTAACAGATACTTTTTACATAGTTACTATAACCTTTTGTGGCGCTTCTTTGTTTTCATGGCAGCCAAAACCTTTTGAGTTAAGCTTTATGCGGTTATTCGGTTAGGCACAGTGATCTAGCCGCACATGCCTAAGTATATAATAATTAGAATTACATATTAACTAGGTTTTAATGTAATAGACTACGGAAACGTTAATATCTACTCGATAACGATAGTTTTTGTTTTATGTCCTGCTTGGTACCATATACCAGTATATTAATAACCTGTTCAACGTAGTACTAATAAGGAAAGATGTAATATGATATAATTGTGTGATAACTAAGCTCGAATCGAACAATCGAGTTTTCGACTTGCAGTGTTCAATAAATCTGATCTGGACTGCTTACCTTGTATAAAACACTTCTATGGCTTCCATTTCTCTGGCTGAGTACTGCCATTCGGCACGTTCAGTTAGCTGCAGTGCATACTTGGAGCCGCTTTCATCCGGTGCAAACGAGTACGTGGTCTCTGGTGGCAGAAAAGCCAACTTTGATGCGATCCGCCCCGGAAGCGGTGGACAACAGAAGAGACAGCAAAGTTCGGATAGCGAAAGGCCGTTCATCTTGCGGTTTGGGGCCATCACGATAAAATAAAACTAATAAAAGGATCAACTCTGCCTCCCACAGCGATACCAGCCGCTGCAATGGAAGGATACACCCACACACAATCACTGCTGCTAAAACCACAACCACTAGCACTGTAACGCCGAAGACACTTCTTAATAACAATTGCGCCACAGAGAAACATAGACTAAGCGTGAACCTAAGATGAGGTAAAAGATGGTGAATGTCAGTTGAATGCTCGATGGATATTTACTACTAGCTGAATACGTATCATATACTCAGTCATCAGCGAATATGAACACATTATAATATATCGATCTTCAGAACTGCAACAGATTGCTTTTACTGCATAAAGGGTGCTTAACTTAGCACTCTTTTTTTGTTGTTTGTGAAACCGTTGAAAACTCAAAATCAATCAAAGAGTTGCCATGGGTGTGCGTACGACTTTCTTATAAAATTGGGTAACCTACGGTAATGGGCATCACACTTGCCGGTATCGATCTCGTTGTGAATCTTGTTGCTATAGTCGTTTGTACAAAGCGACATTAGCGAGGAGCTGATGATCGATAAATTCGGGGAGTTTGATGCTTACTTGTATAATTGACGGTGACGCTTTCGATTAGTTGATGGAACGATAAATCAGTTAGCGACGATTAGTTGATCCGTTGAGCAGTCGAATCCAATCGATGGATCATATCGCCTACACATTTTGCAAAGGAACTTCCCTCTAGCCATTTATTTGTTCAGTTTCTACTTGCTGTTGAAGCTGCCAATCAAAATTCTTGAATGGATTAATAGTAGACGCAGTGGTAGTGCTGTGCAATGCATAGATTCAAGGTATTTGAAGTACCAGCTGCAGACACTTCACCCTACTAAATAGAGGTCGCTAGATAGGTTCGTGTATGTGTACTTTATACTTGTTTTCGCACTTTATATTATTATTCTAGTTAGTGGTCTAACCCATTGCTCCTGTTGCTGGAGCACAGCTGATCTTAATGGCGCGTGAGTTTGAAACCGTGACCTCCATAAACTTTAGTACTGGTAAGTGACCAATTTTGCTGCTATAAACTGGTTAGGCGATGAACGAGGGATAGTTGTAGTAATTTTACTCTAAAGCAGAATCAATGTTGTCTCTGTCAAAATCGAACGATGAGTTCAAGTTGCGTTGATTTCAATTTGGCTCAGTAGAAGTGGAATCGAATATTTGGGCGCCCGGATCGTACAAATCAGAAAACGATGAACAAGAATGACGAAGGAACGAAATTGATCAACTTCATCGAGCGGCAGCGTTGTTCTTGTTATTATTATTATTATTATTATTTTGTGAAGATTCGATGATTGATCAACCTTAAAGGCGCTATTATTCGTTACCACTTTCGCAGCAGTTATTTTAGCAGTACTAGTGCTGTCAACAGTCACACGCACCGTAAGCCGCATGAAAACGAGCAAAGGTTTAGCAGGATGCGGAGCTGCACAGCATAAAGTTAGCCAAATTTCATGAGATATACTCGGCGCTTAAAATTTTTTCGTCCAGGTTGCCTGCAGAAGCTATGCTACATTAATGTGTGTGAACATCCACAGTCACAGAAACATTTCGTATTTGTACATTTCAGCTACTGCTTATGACTTACAATGAGCTGTTCAGTTTGCATGTCTTTTTTAAACTTTGCCCGCTAAATGGTATAACCCAGTGACCGAATCACTCACCGGACAGCGCTTCAGGTATTGTTATGTTAATCGTAATAGGTAACTAATAGCCAAGTGGACTACTGCTCCTTTCTCCGCTTTTTGTCGATTGACGATAGTACTTTAGCATATATGATGTCGATAACCACTGTAATGATGGTGGTGGCGACGATGACGATGATGGACGATTATCTGGTTTTATGACCATAGCGATCGAAACGATGGGAACGAGAACAGCAGCGACAACCGTTCTTATATTTCAGTACATTTCGCAACGGGCGAGAATTAGACCTAGCGCTGATAGCGCCAGGCCACTTCTGCCACTATCGTCATGATCACTCACGATCCTTTCAGATTTTTCCTCTCTCAGTCAGTCGGCCCGTTAGCCTGTTGTATCTTGCTCGTTCAAACGTTGGCAGTCAGCACAGACCACAAGCGCTGACATGAGTAGAACGACGAGTGAAAAACGACCAAACAATGAATGAAGCGATGCATACGGGGCAAGATTGAACGCTGACAAACATACATTAACCGAAAAGCCGAAATTAACCGAATATTGTCTTTTACTGTATCAGTATACTAATTAATGATGCAGTCAAACACATGTGATAATCCAACCTTGGTGTCTTCACGTATAAACAAATAGAATTGGGTGGAATGGTTATAGTGTGGTAAGTACACTGTATATTACGAGTTGAACGCGACAGATCTCTTAAACATGCGTACACCTCTAAAAGGACGACCTTTGTCGGCGTTTGAGTTTTTTCCTCCGCCTCACTTTTCTCCTTTCGGCCTTTTCCCTATTGACGAGCGGCAGCAGCAGCAGCAGTCGCGGCACAACTTATTCCCAACATCAGACGCACACAACTTGTCTTAACCGAGGACCGCCAAGAAAACAAAGCTGTCATGCTGTATCAGTTACTTCCTTTCTCGTTAATCCTCAAAGGAGGTCTTTTGGAGATGAATGGTTGCGGCAATTCAAGTGACGCCAAGCTTCCGTTTTCCAACTTACTCTACAACTTCACAATGTATCAAAGTAATACCAGCACTATAAAAAACCATCACAGGTGAGTCTCATTTTAGCAGCCAATCTAGCTCCCTCGCTACTGCTTTTGTCCGGTCTCTCTAGCTACTGGCGGCTGTTTTGGCGTGACGGCGGCACGGATATGAACGGACGACACGGAACGGACGACTGTAGCTCATCCCGTTTGTACCACTCGACTGCCGTTGCCGTTCGTTGGCTTCATAGTAACAGCTCAGCTTCAGCAGTTGTAGTCTTGATATCGTTCAGCAGAACGACAGAATCAATCACAGCACCATACACCAGAGACAAAGACTTGCTTAGCCAGCTAGCCAAGTAGCAAACTGTAAACAATTTCAACGTAGTCAATCAATTAATATACAGCAATGACAGTAGCAACGATGGCGGTAGCATCATCATTAGTAATGCAAGCACGAGCTAAAAAAACAAAGGAGAACAAGTTGGCTTTTTTGCCGTCTGGCACCCTTGTTTTTCTTTTTCTATAAATGTTTTCCTTGCCATGATGGCTGTTACATTTCCTAACAATGAGTAAATTCAGCAGCAGTAGGAAACGAAGCTATCGTAGAAATAGTGACAATGAAGATATCGATCGGCTCGTAGGTAAAACGGGCACGGTAATGCTGTTGCTAGTATGAATGGCGGCCACCGAGGGCAATCAAGCAACCGGCAGCAACTCTGTTTGTCAGCCAGTCAGTCAGTTACACACTCGATTCAGTTCCGTCGACCTCCTATAGTAGCAGCATAAGAACAAGGAGCAGCAGCGGCATCACCGCTGCTGTCCGCTGACTGCTAGAACACAACAACAACAATCACAATAATAGGCGGCCGCAGCAGCAGGCGACTGCACAACAGTTTCGTCCCGGTGCTGCTGCTGCTGATGATGCTGATACGGCTGATGTTAATGTCGAGCAGCATAAACCTACGTACTCCCTTCTCTTACGACAACGGGAGCGGCAACGGTATCGATAGTATAATGATCACAGACAACTGCACGTCGGCTTAACTTACAGTTGTAATACGAGGAGTCACAAAGATACCGCACCGCCTCATACTTCTCTATAGCTCGTCCTACAACGCAGTCAAACTACGGATAACCGGACGGACGGGCGGACGGACGTATGCATAGCCCATGACAACAAAATACCAGCACTAACGAAGAAACAATTAGCCAGCCTCTCTACTCCTGTTCTTTATTTAGTAGCAGGGAGTACACCTGCTGTTGGTGCCGCAAGCTTGGCAAAGCACAAGAGACATGCAACTGACAAAACAATACTGACCGCGGAGAGGTACCACGTTTCGGAAAGTCTATACCGTTGGCACTTTTGAACCAACTTAAGGCGTTAGCCAATTTCATTATCCTGAATCGGTAAAAACATCGGTACTAACATCATTTGATCCAGTTCTAGTGACGTGTTCAGTTTGTTAAAAAAATTCATTCAGTAGTAAACCATCTGATAAGTTGCGAAAATTTGAAAGTTGTGGAAACACAGCGCTTTAACAATTAAAACTTAAGTAACAGTCGATTAAAAAATACTTAAAAGTATTGAAAATTGTTTTATAAACAATAATCCTGAAGAAATGGAGGCTAAAAAAGACTTGAGTAGAACTGTTTTGCTTATTTTGAAAGATCCTTTGCAACAAAATTCTAATGATTTATATGCTTAAGAAGTAACAAAAAAATTGCGATTCCATTTACCTGACTTGAGAAAGGCCATTTTCGACCTCAATCTCATCAATGGTACTAGCAAGTGATCTGCAGGAGGGGTTAGGAAAACCATTTTTAACATCGTCTTCATATATCTATGGAAAAAATCTTAACCTATTGTGAGAAATATTTTCTTCGTTTTTGTCTTTTAAGATGAAATGTCGAATTTTGCAGATCCATTAGGGAACCGAATTTTTTAAAAAGGCTAAGTGTGAGATTAAAGTATAGTATTACCCCAAATGCATTAGTAGTAAAATACCTCATCTAGTTTTGCAATCGCTATTGCTTTACTTTTTCCAGTTTTTTTAAGAGAATCACCTTCTGCAGCGTCTTAGATATCAAATGTTTTTATGTTTTGCGGTACCTTATACGAAAGCGATTTTGCGTAAAAAAGATGTCAATAAAACAAGGCTCCATTAAGCTTTTCTAATTTGAGAGGTTTAGTTGGCAGAGCTGTTACTTTATAGACGGTCCAGACCTTGTGCTTCACTTAATTTCCGGTGCTGAGTGTTCCTCAGTTTTTCGAGTTCCCTACTTTTATTAACACATCACATGTTTTTGCAATTCTTCTTTTCTGCACTGAGGACGGACAGAGTTATCCTCTCATTGAACGCTATTTTAAAAATGCAAAAAATAGTTTAATATCAATCCAAATGAACATGATTAATATAGTTTTCAAGGAAACCTAAGTGATAACTGATCAAGCAAAAAAACGGTTATGGCCTTTGGCTGAAGAAGGAACCGCTATACTTTATTTCGAGAGCCCTTTTTATGATGATACGTACATTACATAGATATCGGCGATAATGGATAAAGTCCAAAAGAATTGCTAAGTTACACTATCAAGTGAATCGCCTTCTTAGATTTTTTTACACAAGTGTAAAGCAAGAAATTTTTCTAAACATATGGCTCGGACGTAAACCAAAATTGTCTTTAGGTACTTGTTCGCCTCAGCCAGGCCTTGTTGTAGTACCGAGGTCGTTCGCGCCCTTCCTTGCCAATCGTTTCCTCAGTGAACGTCAAATTCTGTGGTACTCTTGTGGTACCTTACAGAGCGGCAATTTCAAATTCACAACATCTGTTTACAACAATTACACCTAAGTTTCGAGTACTAAAATATTATGTAACATATTTATAGTATTCATTACGTGGCACACGCCTGTCGAGGTTGCGATTGCCTGTAGTAAACAATATATTATTTATATTTTTTCTTTGTTTTATTAAGAATAAATATAGCCTCTTGCTGTGCAATCGAAGTTGGTAGAGTTCCAGCTAGGCAAGATGGCGACACCCAGTCATCGGGTTGGGGGTTTTCCCTTTCTTAAAAAGACTGTTTTCTATTCGGTGATTATTGACACCGGCTATATGTGTGTGCAAACGTTCAAGCAAGAAGTATTTCCAGGAGTTTAAAGTTGTACGCCGTTATGCTATTTCACCTAATAAGAATATATGTATGTTGTCATTAGTCAAAAAAGTCTATTGAAGCCGGAAGCTCTTCATTGTACAGTAGGGAATCGTGTCGATGCTTAGTAGTGACAGAGCTTCAGAATAGCTGCTAACCAACCTCATCTTAGTTTTCGTTGAAAAGTAGAAATTGGAGTAGTCCACGAAAGTACGGTCTAGTGTAGAAGGTAATTGCCTTTTCGAAAAACATAAATATTGTTACAAGGGAAACAAAAAAAAGCCCAACAAAACGATAATGTAAAGAGACCTTGCAACGGAGTCCCGCAGAATTAACGACAGTCGTCCTGATCACATCAACAGTTCCTATTTAACTGCTTTTAACTGGAGGTAAAAAGATCAATTGTAGGTGTGACGACTCAACACAAGAACGGCTGAGAAGAAGTAACCTGAAAAGAATATTTGCACAAAATAAACGTAGCAGTTCAGTGAACCCGCTACGAGCTTGAGGTACGTCATCCTAATACGCGTCGTTCATTAATTCCATGCTTGTTGAGGATATGAACAAAAAAAGGACAGAGTTTTTTCCTGCCGAAAATAAATTGAAATAGTGATGTTTCATTTAAGTCAGTTAACTCACTAGCTGTCTCCAAGCATGCATTTAATAAAAAATATATATATATATATATATATATATATATATATATATATATATATATATATATATATAATCTAATAAAACGAAATATGACCCATTCTGCCTACTAATGGTCTATTATCTTCGCTTTAACTCAACTAGGTGTAATAAGTACATGATTTAATAACAATTAATTTAAAGAGCATGTCAAAATGCCAACTTATCCATATGTATATATATCATTACCATTATTATAGGTCACTTTTAGTTCTTCTACACAGTTTATAATTTATCATTTTACTTACTTTAGTTTTTGTACCGAATGGACAGCTAGTGTCATCTGTCTAACCATACTACTAAAGATTAAAAACTGTATCCCATTATAACGGTTTTTATTAAGCAAGTGTTGTTGACTTCCAGGTGTTGCCGCGCAAGTGGTGTGTTTCTTCCTTTACGTGTGTGTGCTAGGAAAATGTATAAAACAGTAATATTCTTCTTAGCATGGGGGTGTTTTGCGCAAGATTGGAACCGGCAGTACATGAAGAAGGAGCATTCATTGGTGAAACCGTACCAAGGCTCGGGGATGAACATGCCTAATTGGGACTTCACTGGCACGACAATGGTTTGTTGTAAATTCTATTTATAACGTATTCTTATTGCTCTAAAGTCAGAATCTCATTTTTTGATGTCATGCAACACAGTTTCTTGGTAATTATAGGAAAATAAACAAATTGCTTACAGAGGTACACACCAAACAAGCATACTGAACAGGTCAGACACCATTTGGTCCTACAACTCAAGTAACTTACCACAGTTCTTTGCTTCTCTGGAAATACTAGTCGATTGAGCGGCGTATGTCTCTACTATTAGCTGACAGAATAGCGTGTGTGGAAATATGATCGCAAATCCATTTAGAATCAATCTACTTCTGGACTGAGTAACCAATGACGTAGCGTTTTCTTGGATCAGCTTCTAGTTTGTCATAAGTTTTTAAATCTTTATTCTGGTTAGCCGAATTACAGCATTACATTAGAATGATTTTTGTGTTTTTTTTTTGACGTTTTGAATTATAAAATCGTACATATGTTAATATGTCAAAATGTGCACGAAAGATTTTTACTGCGTATGAAATGCATTGATATTTTCGTAGTGAATATTAACTGATAAGGCTTGGCTGAAAACATTGATGAATCTGTAGGTTATTTTAAAAATACATAGCTGTTATACATTAGTTTTCGGTAGAGTATATTTGTTGCCACTAAATGAAAAAAAACTTAAAACTCAAACTACAAACGTATTTCGCATCTTTCAACTTGTGGGTTGCAGTTGTTCGTCTGAACGCAAAACGTAATTAGGTGGGCTAAAAGTCTCTGATTTTTATTGCCACTGAATAGATTTACGGATAGCCTTAACTATCTTTATAATTTAAAAGTACAAAGTACGTTAATTACGTCTGCTTAATGTATAAATATTTCCTTTTGTTATACCGTTTGAATTGCTACGCAATTGTAGTCAGCATTTGTCTCCGATTTTGATGCATACTATTGTTAACAGTGCTTATTACAACGCTTATTCAAGGAAAGCTCTGCGGTAGAGTACCCGATGACAAGACACTAAAAGGAAATTGTCACCGTATAAAATATATATATCTCAGGTTTTTTGCGTTCCTTGGAGCCTGTACCATTTTCCGCTAAGGACTTTATATTTCTTTAATGAATTTCAACGATTATCCATTATTACCTTCAGGTGCAGACTACTTTTCTTCAGGGATATTAATAATTAGTTCATCTGCAAATGTGCCGCTTCTACGAATCCGTCCTACTTGTCGACAACCTGACTGAAAATATTGTTGTTTATATATTTATTCGTGATATGAAATTGCGAACAAAAACTACAAGACTAGATATGAGTGTTCGTTTGTAACGCATTTTCTCTCAGATATAGGGGTAACTTAATACCTTGTAACTGCGATGTACCATGTTCTATAGTTCCTATTGCCGAATTCAAAAGATCTTTCAAAGTGGATTGCTCCATACTAGAAGATTAAACAACTTGAAATGAGGTCGGTAGATACCAAGAGATATCTTCCTTAGCTGTACTTCAATAGGTTAAATGGCAAAAGTGCACTCATCGAAAAGTTTAATTTTCTGATAAATATACCGAATTTTTTCCTGAAGTCAACTGAAAACGGTTGGATCACAGGTCTAAATAAAAGTCGCTACCTTTAACGGTTCCAGTGAAGGAACTGGCAGATTAAAGCTCAATCTGAAATGCAAGTCAAACGTTTTTACAAGCCGTTCATTATGGAAATTACCATGCAGTAGGTTATAAAAGTACCTTTCTTCTGTCCGCAGGTATCATCTAATTACATTCGGTTAACGAGGGATAGTCAATCCCAGCAGGGATCTATTTGGAATAAGGTAATTTAATATTTTTTGAATAGTAGTTTAAAGACAGAACCCATTAATCATATGTATGATTAAGAGTTAAAGCTGAATTGTATAACCCTTGCATGTGTTTTACTGAATTTATAGTTACGATAATGCAGTATTATAAGCTTTATGAATCGCACGCTCACGGTGCTTTGTAGTATTCTAAGCAACTTGGGCTCCAGCTATTCAGTTTCAATGGGTCTATAAGATGTAGATGTTTTTATTGTCATATTTTGTTGTTTAGTACTCGTTTAGCTCCACTCTGTTTTTGGTCGCGGATCAGAAAACTTACTTTGAGCAAATAAATGTAATGTGCGTTATACTAGTTACATTAATACGGGCATCGATGAACATGGTTAGCATAGGCGTAAAGCGTGATCAAAGACAATAACCAATGGCAGAACAAATTGTTATACCATCCGTAGACTTTGCTGGTGGCATTGGTTTTATCTACTTGGTGTGTGCTGTATCTACTTCTATCATTAATAGTATCATATGGCCAGCATATAATGTAACATTCACCCTAGCAGTCAACGTAACTTAGAACTGCCGACCCGCAGGTTCCTGTGAAAATGTACAACTGGGAGATTCAAATACAGTTCAAAGTTTACGGGAGCGGAAAGGACCTTTATGGTGACGGATTTGCAATTTGGTAAGTATGCATAATATATTTTATAATAAAAACATGCTCTTTTTTTGCTTCAGTTTAAGTACTGAGAGTTCTTGTTTCGTTCCATACATTAAATTGATATGAGAAAAGTATAGGAGAATTGCTATTGAGTTCCGTCGTTGTTTTCTTGCGATACTCTTGTATTTTACCTATCACAGCGTCATTTCATTCAAACATTTCGTTGTATCTTCTCGTGGCGTTCTTGACAACTCTGAATGCAACGAAAGCTAATCTGCTGATATTTCTACAAAGTTAAATTGATCTGCCATCCTTTGTGAGTCTTGGATCAATTTATCCTAATATAAACTGCTGTGTACGAGGTGACGTAGGCAACCTATTGTAATTTCCACTTCGGGTAACAAAACTCTCCATAGAACAGCCGTATCAATTAGTGGGAGTTGCATAGCAGTCAGTGACGTATAAATTTGTTCCTGTGCTACTGTCCGTCACTCTCGGCTTCCAATGTTTCGGATCACAAATGATACCGGGGAATACATCAACTAAAAATGCATAGATAAAAATTTTTGATAGGTACTACGAAAAGCTATGACAAAGAGGACTAAAATCAAAGCTGTACTTTCTCATCATGTAGGGAACAATTACTCTTTGGTCGTAATGATTGTTTTAATGAGAGTTTATAAATTTGAGGAAACTCGCTGATCGTTTCTAATAATATCTAAAATTTTATTAGGTACACAAAAGATCCATTGCAGCCGGGCCCCGTATTTGGCTCTCGGGATCACTTCCAGGGACTAGGTATATTCCTTGATACATACGCAAATCAGAATGGACACCATAATCACGGACATCCATACATCAGTGCCATGGTAAATAACGGATCACTGAGCTATGATCATGACAGAGATGGAACTCATACGGAATTAGCTGGCTGTGAAGCCAAGTTTCGTAATAGTGAATATGATACATCGGTGTCAATCCGCTATGAACATGACACTCTCGTAGTGTCCACCGACATCATGGGTGAGTGCATTACTCGAATGATGCTTAGTAACTTAATGGTGGTCCGACCATGGAACTGTTGATCTTTTCCCACTATACTGCTAATTTGAAGATGTCAGATTTCAGATATCAATTTACTTGTCGCGATATACCTTTCTTTGCACATCCAAATTTAGTGATCCCTTGGCAATAAATCCGAATTACATTATGGTAATGCCATAATAATTGTTTTATGACTTTCGAAGGAAGCAAATGTACAGCCTCAGAAGCACTACTCATTAATCGTCGGGCTAAAAAATCTAAACGCTCATTCTAAAACTCTTTTCTCGTAACAAAAAGAAAATCCTAAGGTAAAAAATAAACATCTTTATTATTACGCGCTTCGCTTGACAGGCAAAAAAGAGTGGAAAGAGTGTTTCCGTGTTTCTGGGGTTCGACTACCTACAAAATATCACTTTGGGGTATCTGCAGCCACTGGAGACTTATCTGATAACCATGATGTCATTGGTATCAAGGTAAGTACGACATACATTATTGCCGTTATAAAGCTCGCTCTAAAAAGTTCACATATCTGATCTTAGTGGTAATTAATGTTATAACACGAATACATATTATCAGAAATTATAAACATGTGCTTTGATTTCGACTATGAAAATACCTAACATTTTAATAAGCCTACAGATATGACAAATGCATTGGTTCATACCCTACCATTTAAATAGAGCAAAGATTTCTCAGATTTGCTGTATTGTGCAACTAACGTTGTTGGTCTTTATTCAATTCTAGGTGTTTGAACTAGATGGAAATGATGCAGGGGAGGTGGAAGCACGTGAATTCATTTTGCCTCAGGCAGAGCATTTCGCCCCGCACAGAGGTATCGTCAAATAAATTTTGTTCTGACGCATACGTGGGAGTGGCGTTGAATTGGAGACACTTAATAGATAATGCAGTGGGCAGCCGGCTTAAAGTGAGCAATAGAAGTAATGCGAAATTATGATATTCGTTGTGCATATGTTAGTTTGGTACGGAAGTAATGATGATTTTCTATCTGGTGTTCCCTTTCCCCTTCTATTCTTCACTGTTTGATAGCTTCTTATTCCATTCGAAAGTGCCTACTTTTTTTTCGTAAATCTGCCGTAATAAGATTGTGCAATGAGCTAAGTTCTTGGAGTGAAAAGGTCAGTTCCAAAGATGGATATCCCTGCTGAAAAACAAGCCTAGGATATTCGTGTCGTATACGGTGTGGGGTCTATGATCGAAAGGAAAACCCAAATGTGACTGGTAAAATTTAACAATTGCATCTTGGAATAGTAGGATGTGCCCCGTATCAATCGGCCATCCGAAATCGATGTGGATAGTTTAAAAGCGCTTGCAAAACAAAACAACTAGAGGACGTCTCCTGAATTGGACAAGAAGACAGACACTGCGCTGATGTGACTATGAGCACGTGTCTTCAATTTATGAGAGTAATTCAAATATTAGAAGCCTGGATATTTCATGAGCTAAGTGAAAAGAGCATGGAGAATTGCGTTACGTTGTCTTCCAACATCTCGCTAGGCACTAAGCAACATGGTAGTACAACTATAGGCTCTCACATAGCATTATTACGAAAGACAAGCAATAATATCTTCTTGGCAATATGAAGTAAAAAAAAGTAACGACTAACTTTGGAAAATACGCCTAGTGCAGAGTTAGATATTGCTACCTGAAAAAAAAATGTTTTCTATTTAGTGATACTAGAGGCATACATGTGAAATGTTTCAGAAGAACGAAACGGTCAATAAAGATTCAGAGATGTTTTAGTTGGATGGAATGAATCATGCTATACGGCAAGGACTCAACGCAAGGGCAAAACAGAGTTTATTACTTTCCACGACAATACTAGGCCGGACATAAAAAAGGGTCGTTAAAGCCGCCATGAGATATTTTGAATTGAACGTTCTTTTGCACTCACTATCTTCTTGAAGCATCTGTCGGTCTGATAGATGAATTACCAACTTTTTCAATCACCGGCAAATTAAAGTTGACAGTGAAAGTGATTCCCAAAATTGTATAGAAGAGATCTTCAACATTAGACCTAAAGAATACTTTTGGAAGGAAATAACTATTAAATATATATAAATTGGTCGGAGTACGAAGAAAGGTCCTGAAAGTGACAGCGAATATATAATGCTTTTTTTTGCTAGAATTCGAATGAAACGCAGCGCTTACTGTCGAATAAAAAATCATTACTTATATACCAAACTATTACATACGGTCTTTACCAGGCACCCTGAACATACTCGAAATTAGCCGAAGATATCTATGCAGGATTTCAGCAACATTCTGCCATGGAGTACTGTCTGACTGCGAAAAGAACATGCACAAGAAACATTTGTCTATATTTGGCTACTCAAATTACAGTAACTAAATGCCAATTTTTTAAACACGATTGTTATGCGTCCAAAGGAAAAGTTGAATGGCGATTTCGGTAACTAAACCCCTCATTTGTCTTTTTTTTCGATTAATTCATTCCAGATCACATCGATGACCCACCCCCAGCAATGAGCGGAACAAAATTCTTTTTTGTTGTATTATTCTCTATGTTATTTTTGATGTTTTGTGGCATCGGTGGATGGTATTTCTACCAAAAGCACCAAGAGAACGCAAGAAAACGATTCTACTAAAAGAAAGTGTTGTGAAGAGTTTTGGTGCATAATAGAGGTTCTTGCTGTGTCGTATGGAACAGTTTGTCAACAATGAACAGTTTCGTCTGCTACGATTCTTTGATATCTATGGATACGTTATACCCTGTGAAGAAGCAACATGCCTGACCTTCTTTTTGAGACTTCACAGCACGAGTTAAAAGGGAAGAAAAACAAAAACAGATATTTTGTAAAAATCGTCGCGACCCTTAATCCTGAATGCAAGACAGCACCTTACAGGAATAAGGGTAAGATAAGTGGCATCATCTGTACACTCCAAAAATCTAGTTCACCTTCCAACCTTACTTTTTTGCTTTCACCGTATATTCTAAAGAGAGAAATCTGGCCTTTCTCGCAATTTGTGATGATTGATAGTTAACGACCACTCAGTCATCAGCTTCTGTTCAAACAATGAAGACGTTTCTGTCTCTGTAGTCGCTTCTTTCTTTATCGAGTATAAACAGTCAGAAAATGAAAACGAGAATCGCTCTGTAGTTGCTATAACCAGTTAGTTCAGAGGTCAGATTGAGGTTTGCCTTTTATCAGAGGAGTTCATTAAAATGTACACTTGGTGGTTTGAAAAAATGGAACAAGGCACGAGGTATCCAGAACCCAGTGCGCTATGAATGTAGAACCTAACTTGTTTGACATTATTACTACGTCGTATTATCGTACGAACAAGAGCAATACAAATAAAAAGTAGCGAGAAACCCAGTTAGTTAGCTATTTCTTAGTAATAAGCTATATGGAACGGTTTTCTGAAAGGAGGTACTTTGGTTTGCTATTTCTAGTGACCCGTCAGCCATATGTGCAAGGTATCACCGAGGCCAGGTGTAAATTGTAATCTTGTTAATTACGGCGTAGTAGCTTTGAAAAGTGCTTTCCTCCCTAAAGCATATGCCGTCACGAAATTTTATCTCTTCGCTTGTATTCCCCATCGGTGTAAGTAGCAATTTCGAGGAGATGCCACCGTTGGACGTAATCGTACGAAAATTTCCTAATTAAATTTAATACGATTAATGTGTGAAATTTTGATATTGGCCTTCTTTTATTCAGTGTGAGTGCTAAGGCTGACTGGTTAAATTTCACGTCGTCAAAAGTGCATGTTTTTATAAATAAAAACCAGAGCGAGTGCCTACCTGCGCTTGATACTGCATTGTTAGAGAACTCATAAGATAATCAGTAAATAAAAGGACTGGGCGTTTATTTATCGAATATTCTACACGTGCACAAAGGCACTCATGGAGATTCAGGTTTCCAGAAGACCATGCGAACAGGAGTACCCACCAAGACAGAAGGGATATTCCAAATATAGTCACAATGCGATACATTTATATCGGCTGCGCGGTTATCTTAATATAATCTACGCTAAAGAAGATTTGCATATTGGAACACCGTTCGCGTTGGGGCAATATTGCTGTGCAGTGTAATTGTAAAACGTTGTCAATAATCTAATAAAGGATCATATAATGTTCGTTATTTGATAAACAGTGCATGATATCCTACATAGTGCAAACAATAGTGAGATAGCCTCTAGGGGGGGATACAATCATTGTATGAAGACAAAACCGTTAAAATCCATCCGCCACACGTTCTTTGTTCTCTTAGACCAGGCCAGCGTTTCTAATCTAATTTTTGTTGGCATCTTTATTGCTATCGCTGTCTCTACTTTCTAATAATTTCAGTAGTTGAACCTCGATGTGCCATTTGTTTGTAACAGTTTAATTAAATAGAATGATGTGGGCTTTAAAAAGGATCGAAGTTGTCTATATACAATAGTGGACCTTTTTTTTTTTCGAATAAAGAAGCAGATAATAAAACAGATGTGCGACTGTGTACAGAGTTTAACGTGTTTTGATAATGACAGTGGCAATACTAACAGTAACAGACAGATGGTCATTCCATTGTGTATTATAGGTTAAGCTGTGGTCATATGTGAATGTGTGTAATAGGCGTACATACCATGTGAAGCCAGGTACCTTTACTTGAGGGTTTAATATATAAGTGATGATTAAAAAGAGAAGTACACTGGCAGAAAAGATAAACGAGAAATGAACCAATAGAAGATGAAAAATAAAAAAAAAACACTATTTATATACAAATTCCGTTGTTATTTATTTACTGCAGCTTTTAAGAGGATTCCCATTATCTCGTAAAAAGATACAAATCTATCTAAGTTAAGGTAGATTCTTATCTTTTTGCGAGTAAATAATAGTAAATACTTCTATGAAATGCAGAACGATAAGATAATACATAAATAAATAAAATACTTATACTTTGAGCTCCGTTTACGAAAATAAGCATTTCTTGTGTACGGGATGACCTTAATTACAATTGAACAAATTATTTCTGCATGTACCGAGTTATGTCGTAAATAAAAGAAAATTATCTGAAAAAGTTCCCATATTGGGGCGGGTGAAGAGCTATGATTTTTCCAATTCGTACTTCGTGCAAGACCTTCGAAGAATAAAAAGTGTGGTTCAATTTACGCGTATTGCATAAGGTCTTGTTTTAACTTTTGTGTTCAAAGCAAGGTAGTCTAAGTCGGACGTTTTCCCTCATCATATGATGATGACCAAACGAATTTAAGCAGGCCAGACTTTAAAAGATAACTCCCAGACAAGTACAACCAAAAATGCTCCTCATCTTTGTTTTTTCGGCTTGAAAAACACATATTTCGAAGATCGAAGTTGCTTACTTGGAACTTGCAGGTTTACTAATTATATTACTACAAACAGGGACAAATAAATGAGATATTGAATTCAAAACTACAATAGAATAATTTATAAAAACATTTTTGATTTAACCGCCGGTGGTCTGATTTTACGTGCTGTTAGAAGGTATACGCTACGACAGCGGCGATGCGACGATTACCGCAATCACGTATATATATGCATGTAATGAAACAGCCACCTCGAATCAGCACAACCTTGACTGTAAAGATTTTATGGAAAATCTTTCTAGCAACAAAAAATTGATTTCTTACGCGATTTATTGAAAAATATAGCTAAAGCGTGAAATATCTATTAGAAAAATGTTAGATTGTTTTTATCTTTTTGTGCCTCTATGTTTCATGTTTTACGTCCGGTGTCGCTGTTAAGTACTTCGTCAGACTTTATTTTTCGTAAAGTATTATTTCATTCCTTGGTATTACTGGCTGACATATGACCATACAATGCAATTACGGAATCTGTTTTTATTTCAAAATGGTGAGTTTTGAAAGAAAAATGCTAGCACGTAAATTACCATTGAACCCGCAACGCATTTGCTGGTTACGCTTTCTTTTATCCGCGACCGTTTCTAAGATCTCCACATTAACCTCGACTTTTTTTTATAGAGAAACTGCTCAAAACCCATTTTGTTCGATAGATCTTTCTGTTTCAAGCAAAATAGACTTCCTCTATTTCCATTTGTCTGGCCAACGATATATAAATACATCACAATCAATGTTAACAAATAATTTTGTTTTAATATTTTCAGTGGAGTATGAATTTTAGCGAATTAGTAGTTTCATTCAAGAGTTACTTGAGATTTTTTGGTATTTATGGTTGATGTTCGACCACAATTAATACATATCGATATGTGTTTTCTGGAACTAGCAAAATGTTCACTAATTCAGTTTATTTTAATCTTTCGCTTTAATAAATAAAACGGGTAAATATCTTGTTACGCATTGTTTTTACTTATTGGCAAATCATGCATGAAGCTAATAATGCAGCTACAGTGAAAGTAACCCCATTATGGTAAAATGCCCTATATCTCGATATTTACGTCTGGCATCGTTGTTAGGCGTTCCATCGGACGGCTGGGTCCCAGCCATCATGAAACGTGTTGTATGCCTATGTCCGGCTTCGAAGCTAGAGCACAACGTGTCCCTAAGGTTAGCAGGCAAATACGTTACTCACCAAGTTTTCATGGAGAATCGTCAAAATACTAAAGCAGGTTTATCTATCGTTCGTCGATTGTCATAGATTAAGCATCTCCAAGCTACCCACAAACTGGGCTTGCATCCCAAAAACACTGTCTAATACGACAAGTAGGCCAGAAGTATCACTGTCTTTTTTTCGATAAATCTGTAAGATCCAGCAAATGATTTCAGGACTTCTTGTACCTCCAATTGTTGACAAAGATTTGAAAGAGATGCTGTTTCGGTTAAATTGTCCAGCCTTCTGCGTAACCAGTAATGCGCAGTAAACCCTATTAAAGACTCATTTCGGCGAGGGACATTTGATCTCCAGGCGGAGCGACGTCGATGGCCCCTCGCATCATGCGACGGAACCAACTCGACATCTTTTTATAAGAGTACTTAAAAAGAAGGCATACTTCGACAATTTTTGAGACAATGCCGCTATTCAAGAGCTTATTTCTGAATTAGCAGATGTGCGCGAAAAAGTGACCGAAAACTGCCTGGAACGAGCAGCTGTTATGAAAAATATTAAGGTAGCCTACCATACTTATGCTATATTGAGGCCATTTCTTTGCATTTCATTTGTCACAAAGAAAGATTTATATAAATATATTCAGTTGTTTTTGCTTGCGTCTTTTATTACCCTGCGTAGCGTTTCGCCTTCAAGCAAATGGGCTGTCAAAGCATAAAAATTCAACCTTCTTAATACACGATATTTAGGCCAAACTTTACATAATCATCGGGCTATTTTGGTATAGACATCACGCAGGTTTGCAAGTTTTGTGACGAACAAAATTTGCAAACCTACGTAACACAAAAGAAGTGTCTGGAAAGTTTGGTAAAACCTAATAAAGCAGAAAGTCGTACGTTGTGGCACGACTTTTTGCTTTTTAGCTTTAAGTCAATTTCAATAACAGCTTGCGGAGGTATTGCCCTCAATATCCAATAATAAACGCATCCATATGGCACGAATAGTTTTTTATTACTTAAAATAGTATTTTTATTGAATATAACACTATTTTCTAAAATATTCAATATAGTAGTACAGCTTCACAGACCATGTAACAATGGTAACTTAAAGACAGGTCGGACTAAGTTACTGCTCATTTTGCCTCTGGACTCAAATATTGCATAATATTTTTCTTTAAGACAAGAAGAGATGGAAATTGTGCCGGATCTAAATGAAGTCGCCGAAGTTGCTCAGTCGCAACGTTGAGGGCGGCCGTTCGGTTGTCGACTTCTTCGTCCCGTTTGTAAATTGCTTGGAATCCTTCAAATTGCTTCGTAACTTCGCTATTAGGTGGTATACATTGATCCTTTGAAGAAGACGTGTTTGAAGTCGTTTTTTTGAAGCCTGGCGTTCTTGCACAATGTAGATGTCTTTCTTCACTCTTGTGATTGAATTTCTGATTAAGCATCGTGCTCAGTAGAAGCATTGCACAACTCTGATATCGGTGTCGATGCCCCCAGATGATATCGAACGATCTATTATTATGATTGTCGTGTGTTGATTTTTGCACGTACGCCAGTTGTTGTTGAAGCTTAGAGCCAGCATCCACCATAGAATGAATCAAGTGCAATTGAAGGAAGACAGCAAAGTTGAAGTTGCGAAATGCCAAATGGCGAAGCGCGCAGCGTCCAAAGTCATCGAGTATGAGATTATCAACATTCTGTGAAATAATAGCACGTACATCTCGATGGAATTCAGCGAGAACGAATGTCCTTCTCAATCCTGTCTCAACAAGATGGCCCATTTCAAGTCGCATTAGTGAATCATTACTACTCGAAGGTTCATGCAAGACGGCTAGGAACTTAAATACGAAGTGCACTGCTGACCGAACGTAGCTAATGTCGATCTGGTCATTCGATTTGTCTAGCGTTAAATCGACCAATGAGTTTACAAGCACTTGTAAACGCAGTAAGCTTCGTCGAGTCTTTCCTAAACGCAGTATTTCTACAGCATCGGCTTTGCTCATCTTTGGCGAGAGTAAACTTGGGTCATTCTTGCCAGCTTTTTTTGGGATGGCAAAGTGTGGCTTGTCGAGTAGAATATTCGAACAGGGTGTTGTTAGGTTAACGCAAAGCTTCGTAGCTTTCGCCACACGACCAAGCTCATCATGAGGCAAATTCTTTTGGTTCGGTAGTTCGTTCCCGGTGCTTTCTAGTTTTTCTATTGTTTCATAACTAGTGACGTCGTTTGCATTAAGGGTAGAGTTTGAAATACCCGTTGTTGTCATTGTGGTCGTCGTCTGTTTTGATACGTCATTTATATCGGTTATCGCCGCTGAGTCTAGAGGTGCGATACCGAATACGCCTTTAGTAGTTAGCGCTGCCGGCCTGGCTGCAAATAAATAGGTAGAATCTACTAAAGAAAACAAATTAAGCTTAAAGTAGGATGAGCGAAATCGATAAACTTTTGTTTCTGTTCTGTCTGGTACTTGATATATCGTTTGATGAGGCATGTGAACTTCGAACGTATAAATAACGGATCTGAAAACTGGCATTCGCTTTTTATCTAATATAATAATAGGATGCACAACACGGAATACAGTTAAATTAATAAGACAGTCTGTGAAAATTAAAGTGCGTATTCAAAAACGATTCACTTATCGTGCACAGTTTCTTCTCTTGCTGAAAAACGTCGCTATCACAGCTTTTTGCTTGTGGCAAAGAAAGCAATCAAGTGAACGTATCATATCACCCATTGGCTAAACAAAACTCAGTAGGAAATAAGTTTATAACCAACCTTTCTTGCGGCACTGTTTTTTTGGTACAGACAACAACGTATCTTCTTCCTTTTGATAATGACCGTAATAATGATGGCTGTTATTACTGTTGTTTCGTTTCATACTTCGAAGTATGATACAGCTGCGGTGCTCCCGTGAGCTTAAAACAAACCGACAGTTCTTTTAGCTGTTTCCTGCCTCCTTTTCTAGGCGAAGGCCTTTAGGTGGAGTAACAACTCCAAATTCCTTGTATCATATAGAAAAATCTTTTATAGTTGTAGGTTGTTGTTTAAGTGTAGATTTTACCCTTTTGAGTTTTTCGCAGAAGCAATATTTAATGCGCACTCTTAATGCGCATTACGGAGTTACGGTTATAGCACCTTCGACAAACAATGGTAATGATATCGCCTTTCAAAAAATTTTCATTTTATCAAGCCGTAGACTATTACCTTCTATTAAAGTCAGCTTCTTCGGTCTTTGTGTTTTGGTCATAAAATCATCATAGAGGACTAAGTAGTCTGTTTACCTTCGTAATTACGTCAGCAGGTCTACCATTGCGTTTTTGAATGGACTTTACCACCATCGATATAAATATTAATTACCATCGAATTGCATTTAACATGATACTTGTTGTAAGTGAATATCTGTAGCACATATACTCAAATGCGCTGTACTAGTACCTGGAAAAATGGTAACATAATATTTATTAAGCTTTTATCAGTGCTATACTCTGAAAGCACTCGCCTTATTGTCGTTTCAAAAATGGAAAGCTTGGAAAGTTTAATATATATATATATATATATAGACGACTTATTAAACTTAATTGGCGCGACGGAATGATCTCGGGAGGGCCCAGCAATACTCCTATGAGAAGAAGCCATCTGTGATAGCATTGTGGTAGCTTACAACAAGTTTATATACAGGGCGCGACGTTTAGGTGCTGATTTTTCTCAGAAGTTCTTTCTGTGATTTTATCTGGACAAGAACAGATAATCCAGCGATTTTTTTTCATGTGCTAGAAATGCCCGCTACAGCCCGTCAGAGCGTGTCCGAATTTGAATGTTCCACCCTGTACGAAGGGAGTAAAGTTCCCTTTTCCAATCATTTTGAAGTCGGTCTTGGCTATTCGCTCAAATGGCTAGTCATGACTTCTACGGAAGTTTCCCAATGCTCCATAGGATATCACTTGTCAGCTATTGGTAACAGGAAGCGATTTTTTTTCTCTACCTAATCATACCTGTTTTCCGTTATTTTGGACCTTCTATCGGCGGTTTGACTAAATTGCTAAGTCAGCTAATCGTAGGCTAAGAGATACAAGTGTTTAGCACGTTCCCTTGCGGAGTTTGGATTCTAGACACAGAATTGGAAGGCTACACGGGTGCAATACGGTGGTACACACTTCATGAAGGCATAGAGCATCTGTAAGGTATACAAGACGACACAGGAAGACATTCAATATACATAGTCGGGACACGTATATACGTGGCCACCTCAGCCACATTTGAGATTATTCTATTGAGAATATGTGGGTTTTGGAAGATGCAATGCAGTTCACCTAACCACCTAAAATACCGACTAATATAGCACTGTTATAAGGTTCTTGAACCAAGAAAAGCATTTTGAATTATAATGTTTTGGCTAAGTTCCCTGACCCATGCCGGCTTGGTGTTAGGTTAGCGCTCCGATGATAAGATTTGATACAGTCTTCAAATCGTCATAATTATCGGTTTTAAGACTTGTTAATGTGATGGAGCAATAACTATTTCGATCTAATCCGGTACATTTGTGCCATTTCATCAGCGTCTGTGTCCGATACTTCTCTGACCAACTTTCTATAGATATAAAATCGCATTAAACAGGGCCGAAGTATTGCAGCAGAAAAGGGATGATACGATTCAAACTCGGACCTGAGGATGAAGGCAGTTGTCTTTTGTTATCGGCAATCCGTTGTCACAGTAAAGGAAAACGCTACAATAATCTGAAACGAATGCAATTGCAATAAAACCTATATTGTGTAACTTAACTTCTTACCTTATCGAAGTATGTTCGAACGGTATTGACGTTCTCATACATCTTGGTGATGGAGCTATTCACTTACGCTGCTAAATAAATAGTCGTCTCCGATCAAAAATATCCACACGTTAAGGTATCTTTATTTGTTTGTTTTTATTTAAGAAAAATATTTTAGAAAATCATTATTTACTTTATGGAAATGGCGTACAACTTTTAACGCATTGTAGTGGCAACGCCGTTACTACTATTGCAGGTTCTTTAGTCTTTAAAAAAGCCTGAGAACAACCTCAGCATAATAAACTTAGATATCTAATAGCAGACAAATACACGAAATGGTTGAATTCGGTAGTTATTTTTGAACGAAGGCGAACATATTCGTGCATACGACACATTTCCTCATTGGCTACAATGAACGCACATCAATCGATCATTTTACTATGAACACTGATAATGCACCTTCCTAGATCGTGCATTTGATTCTCCAGCCAATCACTGTCGCTAAAAGATATTCGAGCTTCGACGACATTCAACGTGTCTACATATTTTCGATTTGTGAGCACTTTTACCAACCTCAGCTTTTCGAATTAAATAGTTGAAAAAACGGGTTCGACGTAAGGTGAGCGCTATACGAGCCACCTCGTGTAAATAAACATTGTTATAAAGCAATGTTCACTTTGAGCCGGCCTAGCGATTAGCTTGCTCCGCACTTGTTAGCGACGTAAGGTTTGACAGGTTCAAGGACAAAGTAACTATGCGCCTTTTTCACTTCATCGCATCAGAAACAACATTAGAACCTAGTGGGTGTCGCCGCTCGACCCATGTGATCAGTTTCTCTGTATTTTGCAAAACGGCTTCTACCTTTCCGACCTTGAAATGTTGATCATACTGTTTTCTTTTTCTGGCCAAGTTTACAAATAAAACTTAATGAAAATAGCCTAAATTTGTTTCGATTGCCATTATATTAATGGCTGTTGGTGACTATATAAACATATATATATATATATATATATTCGTTTCAAATTATGTATGGTAGCCAACCCATTTGTTTCAATAATAGGTGAATTATAGTGGTTTCATGCGAAAGGAAAAACAAAAATTGTGCTGCAATTTTAGCCGAATGCATTTGTTCATTGCCTTTTTAAGACCATCGTTTTATATAAAAGGAGTACAAGCTGTATTCAAATCGTGTACGGTAGTTAAGCTTTAACTTACCCGAAGTAAACAAAAGCGAGATTGGATGCATTCACATTACTTTTTTTTGTTAGTTTTCTATTTATTATATCTATTAGTTTTTCCTTTATTATACCAAAGGTGATATTTTTCAAGCACTTTATTAACAGGGAACTTGGACAAGTAATGAAACATATTATGTTTACAAATTTTCCTGAAGTGTCGGCCCTCATCATTGTTGTATTACGTGCACACTCTGTTCGTACGAAAATGCCACTCTATGAAATGAAAATACTGCAAATTATTTTTATTGAAGGATTTTTAGAATATTTTTATCTGTAATCAGCAAATATTGATGGAGTCTTAATTTGACATCATTACTGTTAGATCAGCTCTTGTAAATTGGTTTAGAATGAGAGAAGTAAATATGTTTCCATAATAATGCTTTCTTTAAAAACAAAACGCGAAGCGTCTTATAGATGCGTCTGTTAGTTACTGCTAAAAGTTACGCTGGCAGCTTTCAGAGCATCTCGTACGAATTCGTAAAAAAATTAATCTCCCAAATAACTATAACAAATTTGTATTATTATTCCTAACAACAATAGCTCAAATTTATCTGAAAAGGAGGACGACGACTGAAATTAGGCACATTGGTTACGACCGCGGGGAAATAAACGTTACTCATGTCAAGCTTGAAACATAAGACAAGAACAATTCCTATCGCCCCGAAGGATGCGCCACGACGACGCCACTAACGACTCTGAGGATGATCGGTTGAGGGTGAGTTTTTCCGATTTCTGAAGGGAAAAATAAGGTCAAAGAAACATTAAGAACAAAAGAAGTATTACACTTAACTTTTAAACACGTATCTTTATGCTGCTTGAGCATAGCTATCCTGTTCGTGAAAGCGCCCTATATATGAAAGCGTTAGTTTAAAAGCCCACCTAGATTGCAGTAAAATATGAGATTGTTCTTGTAATATACTAGGATACTCGATGGACGAAAACCTACTTAAGGATAGGTCCAAAAATATTTACGCTCAAGAGCTTTCCAGTTCCTTGTTTTCATTCGCTTATCACATAAGGCTACCTGGAAATACTAACTCATTATCAAATTTGATAAAATTCTAAACCGAATATCTACATTTTTTTTTTCATGTAAAGGCTGCATTCTAGTGGAAGCATATGATAACGCGGCCTCCAAAAGGCATTCTTAGGAAAAGGAGACATTTAATAACTGTTTGCTATAACATATGTGAACTTACTTATCAAATCCTTACGCATAATTCAGGTATCCAATTGGATCGTTTGCGTTCTTTTGTTTATGGAGAGACACCAGTGAATTGAAATATAGGACAGCAGTTATCTATAATTTATCATGAAAATTTTAATTCATTCAATAATAACAACGTCGTTATTACTGAGCCGATGAAAATTCTAGAAAATTTCTAGAGACTTCCATGTTTTGCGTGAACTCGAAATGGGATTACAGAAAGATCTCATGGAAGAGCAAAGGGCCAAACTTTAAAAAGAATGGCGACAAGGGAGAAAAACTGAAAATGTCGACAATACAGTCCAGAGAAAGTGAGGTGAAAAATAAGGCGCTTCCATTGTTAAAAAAAAACGTAAACAAAAATTCAAAATGGTGCACAAAGCAACGAACAGACAGGCTCATAAATATGCGGCTCTGAAGAACATAACTTTGAAAGTTGGATAGTTAAAGGCTGGAAAAGGGTCTACTTTTCAGACGAATCGCATTTTGTGATTTTTGGCGGCAACGCCATCATGTCTACAGGCGCTGTGGTGAAACACCTTACGAATTTTATCCAACCCAGCATATCAAACATTCTAGCGAAATAAATAATGAAACCGCTGTGCTGAAATTGTACAGCTCGTCAACGGGATCATGGAAAAGTTACAATATAATAATATAATTCCTAGGCCCTAGGCACAAAGACGGTTGCCGTACGTCACTATGTCACAGGACAGTGTTTCTCTGGTGCATATCGGTGACGATGTTGAGGTTATAAGACGGCTTAGAACTATTACCCAATTACAATCTGACCGAGAACGTGGGGCACGACGAGGAGGTTACAAAGATCTCACAATTCAGGAACATTGTGCTTCACGCTTGGGTTCAGGCGTGATGGAGATGATGCGAAAATCCACATAAAGCATGCCCAACCGAGTAGCGGCAGTCATCGCAAGGGGTGCGAATATTCATCTCAGTAAGTGCTCTCTATTCACACAATAAACTAAAAATTAATCTCTAGCTACAGTGTCGGTACTAGTGCTGTCATTAGTGAGCAGAGGAACGTAGGTTTGAAATTAAAAAAGCCACAAACACATATTTAGTTTTGGTGTAGAACTGTCTTTAATGGAACTTGACTCTGTCAAATGTTTAAGTGGTTTATTAGTATTACTAATATTGTTACTATTATTGGCTGACTATGGGAGCAATACAGATATAGTATAGATCGTCACGGAAGAAAATTGTATCATCGATGTTCTCGGTACACCGAAATATGAATTTGATTTTCCATGTATTATTATAAAAATAGTTTTGTATGTATGTGTTAGGGAACGATGATCTTCATAGAATAGGGAAACGAAGTCGTCGAGGGGCTAAGATGGGTTGTGTCTCATAATTCCTGAGAGAGACTGCAAACAGATAAAATTGCTTATGCCTTATGCCGCAGGTGTGGGAGTCTTCGCTACTCGGCCAGAAAACGTATCGAAGCGTTGTGCTGCTATGACTATGACTTATCGAAAGAGGGCGAACACGACAACCTCTACTGAGTGCCAGGGGCAAAAAAACACTCAATAAGTACGATATCCAGAGCCTTGAAAGATATGTTGGCGGACCTGTGCAGGTCACAAAAAGCCTACAACGAAGTGAAAGAGTTGGCGGCTGCTGATGAGCGAGCTAAACAAAAGGTGGCTCGTAACGGAACCAAGGATGGCTTTAGCCGGGACGGAGAAATGCAGTTCTATGAATAGAACCATATGAAATCCCAAGGACAGGGAAAGGGATGGGTCTGAGTAGAGCTGGATGACTCTACTAGCATACGAGCATAGCAGAGTTTCCAAATAGCCTGGACAAAGAATTTTTTAAGTACGAACACTGGAGAGTATTTCATTCTCTTCGAATACGGCGAACACAGACACAAACTGTGAGCCAGTTTGTGGGCAGGTAGAATCGAGAAGTTCCGGACTGAGATAAGAGCAGGGAGCAGCGACTACTAAAAATGGGGGGTGATAGCCAACCGCATGAGTAGTAGACATCCTAAAAAACATTTGCGAGGCGGTCATAGCCAGTTGGGGGAGACTAGCAAACAAGCACTTACCTAAGTACTGGCAGTTTTATCAAATCGTGGATTTCAAAAACACCTGTAACAAGGTACGCAAAAACCATATAATGGTATGGAAGATAAAGATACTTAGGAGGCATTGAGAACTCTACAATGGGCAAAGAGAGATGTCAGAATAGCAATAACATACTGCGAAGAGGTGGAAAAACACGTTTGGGACCGGCGATATAAAAGAATTATGGACGAGCTAAGGAAGCCACAGTGGTGGTTGCGAATGGGGTGACAGTGGCGCTGAACTGGTGTTGCGTGTGGTGAGAATGCTATTTACAAACCACCTAGACGCATTCCCTTCAACAAGTAGAAGTAGGGTTGAAAACGTCCCGCAAGCGACACGAGAGGTGACAAAAGAGACTGCCGAATCGCAAGGGTCCACTCCACTCTAATCCTAGCAGGGACAGTAGAAAGTTTTCTTCAAAAAAATTTTTAAAAACAGGCAAGATATGGCAAAAGAAACACTACTCACCTGAGTGTTAGCTCTAGTTCTTATTAAAAAACCAGAAAAGCTCCTTGCCGATTTGCGGCCTACTACTTAGTCTGTTTGCTCGACATGCCAGAGAAGACCGTAGAAATCCTCATAAATGGGACACTCACAGCTGAAGAAAAAGGATTCCTGTCTAATTCGAATCTTAAACAAGGCCGAAAACAAGGAAATCACTGTAACAAACTCTCTTAAAGCGGCTAAAAAAGAGCGAAAGGGAAACCGACGGTCAGAGGAGTTACGTGCACTAATTCTACTAGACGTACGCAATACCTTCAAACCATTAAAAGGGCAGGAAATCACTAATACCATGAGCGCAATATATGCAGCAACTGTCGCCTCATATCTTGGCGATAAATCAAGCCAGTACCGGTACACGACAATCGCGACGGTTTTCTCCCCTTTGTTCTCCCCCATTCTGTTCTTGGGCTCCTATTCCGTACGTTTTTGCCTTTGACATGACTGAAGACATCGAATCCATTGTACGCAGACGACCTGGATTTGCTGATCACCGCACGAAAGGACAGGGCACGGTGAAGGTAAAAGCGCAACACTCTCCTTCTCCAATAAGCCCATGGATGGAAAAGCATGTGCTGAAATTTGCTTCCGAGAAGAATGAAGCTTTACTACTCATCGCGAAAAAGTATTGCGGAGAAATCAAGCTGTCATCGAACGGCATGCGCATCGATCGATATAAGTGGGTATGTCTTGTATATCGAGGAGTAAAAACCTTTCAGCAGATAAGCTCACATGGAAAATATCACAAAGAAAGCATCAAAAATCACAAATAGTCTAGCGAACATCATGGCCAGAACACGGGGAGTCTCCCATGGTAAAAAAACTATTCGCGTTTGTATGCAGTTTTACCGTGTACAGGCCTCACGCCGGGTCTGCCCGCCGTGAAGTTCAAATTCAACAAGACAAAGCTCTTGAGGGCGCAAAGGCTGCTGGCATTCAGGGTGACAAGAGAACGCAGAAAAGTAAAAGCAAAATCGAATCGTCAAAATGAATCGAGGAATAAATTAGACAACTTTGGCACTAGGGAAACAGGAGGCTCGCAATCTAGCGATACAAAAGTAACACGAGAAATGAAGCGAGATGGTAGTGGACCCTCGAGAAGTTTAACCCGGCAACTCATCAGTGACCTAAAGGAATCGATGGACATGAAGCGCAGTGATATTACGAACCATCTAACCCAGTTCCAATAGGCCACGGATACTCCGAAAAGTAGCTCGCTAATATCGGAAAAGCCCCTGACTCTCTCTACATGTACTTTGAGATGGGCGGGGAAGATGATGTCACCCACGCCACCTTACGCTACCTGACCCCGGAATGTTCGTATCGGGCCCGACGACTCGGTGATCCTATCAAAACCAATGTTAGGCATAAGAAATAAGGTGACAGAATTGTAGGAAAGAGGCAATTATCTATAGAAAACGTAATTTAAAAACAGAGTTTGGGAAAAAGGAGAAGAGCACTGATGTAACATTTTTAAATAGTTCTAGTGGAGTATGTGTATATTGGTATAAGTTCAGTATAAATTTTATAGATTATCTACTTGATCCTAATTACTGCCCACTCAGTTAATCACAGTTCTAATGGGATGACAGTATGCACATGTTCAGTGCTTCTATTATCAAAATAACATTTGAAGACATTTATCTATAATTTATTACAAGGCATTTATATATAATTTATTTATTAATCGGCAATGAAATATCATAACAATCAAGAGCATTACTTAAAAATTTACCTGCTTACATGATGCGTTCCACGCACTCTTATAGCTTGGTATCCAACAAGAGAGGCGTACGTTTTCGATCATAAACTGGAGTGTTATACGATGGTTTATCCTGATTTGAACTTTTTCTGTGAATGTTTTCTAATTTAGGTTGGGTTTTTCTTTATGTGACCTGTACCTATAGCCTATCCGCCTTGGAGTACTACCTTTCCTGACGTTTGGTGGCCCAAATGATGACTTCTGTTAGTTATTTTCTTAGTTGGTACTATGATTTACTGTTGTACTGTCATAACTAAGTTGGTGATTATATCTTGGGTTTTATAGACGAAGGATCCGTTCGAGGATAGCGGTTATGTAGCGAATCCTTTTGCAGAGGCAGACGACGAGTTGTGCATTAATGACTGGTATGGTTACAACATGCCCCAAGAAGCGATCAAAGAGCACTTGTTTCAAGATAATCGCGACGGATGTTTTATTATTACAAATTCATCTACGGAGGGAATTCCATATATCTTATCAATTTTCGTGAGAAGGTAAGCTCAACGTATAAAAATGTCTATACACAAAGAATAGAATATTCAATTATTAAACATATAACTTTATAGGATATGTATCAATTTTAATAATATAGTAAGTGACACAAACCTGTGAAATGTGTACAATATGACGAGATTTTAATCGAAATGCTTAAGTGGCCATCTCGAAATCTCTTTACAAGCACGAAATGAAACATAAAATTGGAAATATTCGCCAAAATTTAATGTAGCAGATACTAATTTAGCTTCCTGATTGTAGACGACTTGAACCTATTGCCGCTTTTCAAAGACTTCCTGGTGAAAATTTCGGCAGCGTCAAGTCACATGAACAGGCCCGGCTACGGTTCAGGTAACCTGCGGGCACCTGTGCGTTTTTCGACCTTGCCTTTTACTTGTACTCAGTAATTTGAACTTTTTCAAAACGCAGTGGCAGGTGGGAGCGTCTAATTATAAGCACAAATTCTTCAGTCAGATAGAAATGCAGTAGATGATCTTCGATTCAGGGTCAGTGTCACCACTGCTTCTTGATTTATGCAGTAAATTTGCGGTGGAGTTCCTCATTATCCATACGATTCATTTTCGGTTAGATAAATTCTATTATAGGACTAAATAGTGAGGTATTTTTTGCAGCATACGACAGGTAGCTCCATGGTGAACTCTACAGGTGAATCTACCGTGGTCGACGGTAAACTGTGGTGATCAAATTTCCTAACATTGTTTCGGCCTGATCTATGAGCGTCTTCAGGCCGAACCTTCGTGCCTAAATCATGTATACCCAAATCAAATCTTATCCATCAGGATAACCTGTGTCCGTTTGTTTTGCTTCTATTGGCAGACTAACAAGCGAAAAAATGCGGCTGTTCGACGCAAAACAACCTCGCGATGTTGCCTGCGGAACCACTACTAGTAATTATATAATAAAACACAACACAATTTTGTAAGTATCACACATATTATAAGGTTCGAATTCTACCTAAATTATTTTGTTTTCTCTTTTTGTTAATAATTCATAGTAGTTATTTTGCATAGTTTGCTACAACACTATGCGGTGCATAATTTTAGACAATATACTGCATCTCTAATAGCAAGCAACCGTTACTGAGATGCCTTTAGACTTCGCTATAGAATTTACACAATTCGTTAACCTTAAGAAAGTCTGTTTTTTTTTTCAGAGAACATCCCAAAATACTACATTATCCCGTGAGGAGAAACTTCGCTGGAAGAATATACATTATAGAACGACGGAGCTTTGGATCTCTCAAAGAACTTATTGAGTATCACCAGCAATACCAGGATATTCTACCAGCTCGACTCAAACTTCCTCGAACACTTGGTAATAGTTAGAATAAACATAAAATTGTTTTTTGTCAATCCGCAACAAAGTATTATAAGTTTGAAAATAGGCGGGTGTCATCAATAATTTTCAAGGTTATAATCTGCCTTTTTTAACATACTACAGCCAACACTTTATTAATTGCTCGTAAGTTCCATATTTAGTGCTATGTATTACGATAGCTAGTTTTGCCATCGCGTATTCAAGCAAATTGCTTCGCCGTCGATAATTTCGTCCGATAAATGCCTAAGAACCAAGGCAATTACCCTATTACCAACTTAGTCGGTTATTAAATTGCGGGATCTGATACGAGGTCCTATTCAAGACGTTAGCCAAAACTAATGTCCCCTTGAAATTCTGGCATTTGTTTTTTTTGCAAATTTTTGTTGGAGAACAAATGAAACTAAGGATGAATTCCTTTTTCCAATTCAATAAAAGCAGATAAAAATGTATCTTCCGTGCTATGTACAAAAAGGGGTAATTATGTATAAGTAAAAAAAGGTAAGAATATGTGGTTTATGACAAAAAATAACAGTTTCGTAACGTTTTACATTTCGTAACGTAATAACGTTTTTCTAAAATGTATCTGATTTAATATTTTCCGAATGTATTTGCTGTCAAACCAATTGCTCGTCCTCGCACAATGTTGGGGACCAAACTTTCTAGCCCATTACGAAATTAACCCATCGCGCGTGAAACTCAAGGAGAAGCTAGGATCAGGCGTGTTCAAAGCAACATATCGAGTTGCCTTCGAGAAGGCGACGATTATCGCTGTCAGAATGCTACCAGACCATTTAAGCAGCGATGATTTTTTCCAAGAGGCGAAAATGATGATGTTAGTATGTTACCTCTAGCTTGAATTTGTTTCTTTGTATTATTTCTAGGCTATATTGTCTAATTCCTAAGCTCAGGTCCGTGATCATCTACATTCAGAGTTGTTCTTGCAATATATATTTTTTCAACTTTGTTGCAACACTTCTAAAACAGCCCTGTGATTTTGTAGTCAACTGATTCATTTACAGGCACTAAAACTAGATCCCAATTGGTTGATTCTTTCTTATTTGAGGGAATTCATAAGGATCAATGAATTCAATGGTGGATGGCAGCCCGATTTTTTTTAAAGACAAAAGTCTCAAACGGTTCCTTAGTTTTTCTAAACATACATCTAAAAACCTTGCATGTCAAGGTAAGAGCTCCGAGCATTTCTAAACCGCGTATCTTCTTTTAGCAGAAAATTTTTTACAAGTCGTTCCTAAAAGTTTACAGATATCGCCAGATAATATGGTGATTATTACCTATTAATGATTCGAATAAAGGTACCATTTTTTGTTTAAGCCAGTTGAAGGTAAGGTCTGTCTATTCATACAACGCCTTAGGACTTGAATATGTGGACCTAATAACAGTGCCACTGCAGACTGTAAGCGTTAGTGATAAATTGAGCTAAGCAAGTGTTTTTTTTTTTATTGTTCCCTTATCGACTGCACAGGAAACTTCATCATCCAAACTTGTTACAGTTTATTGGGGTGTGTTCAAGAGGAAGCCAATCTATGATCTTGACTGAGTATATACCACATATGACCCTGGCCAGTTACCTACGTTTGTCGTGCAATAAAAATAAGGATCCACGCTTTTTACTTAACCTCTGCGCACAGGTAGTATACAGAAACTAGAGTATCCGACAAACATGCATAATGAGATCGAACAAGTTTCGATGGTTTGCTTCTCTGAAGATCAATGAACACAGCTGTTGCGCGACCACACATACAGACTACATAGCCATTTCAATGAGAAATAGTTAATCCGACATTTACTGCTTATTTCAGCCACGCACAATATGGTATCAGAGCAAACGTCGCTGATTTTCTTTCGGCTACTAGAAGTTCTCTAAAGTTTTGAAACAAGTACAAATTGTTATTTCCTGTAGAAGGATCCTTACTGCGAACGTAAGAGATTCTAAAAGAATCACTAAACGTAAGTCCGGCTGTTCCGGTCCGATCAGATTTGGTGAGATCTGATTTAGTTATTTAGGCTCAAAAGGACAAAAAAATTCACGCTTTCTAAATTACTATGTATTTGTTCTGTGATCACTTTTATTATTATTGTCTTATTAGTATAGTTTTGTAATACGCTTCTTGGTTGATTAATGTTTGTCGTGGGTGTCATGTAAGCAATTTGTCTATGCTTTCACCATCGCCGCGTTTGATTGGGGAAATGTTACAGTAACGAAGCGCGATTCGACGACTTGTCTTATTGTTAAGGTTGTTCACGCCCTATCTATCTATTACTCCAGCCCTTCACAGGTACCTAATAACCTGCAGTGGTCAGCGTAAATCGCTAATTTTTTTCAAAAGGCTGCTAGATTATTGCATCGAATTGCAGTGCCCAAGAGACCTATCAGCAAACCTTGTGACTGCACACCCTTCGGACAACATGTCATTCTATTAAAAACAACCAATTGTAACCTGCAGTATATTATGATTTCAGAAGCCTAACTAGTAAGGAACAAAACTGTAAGCCTCTAATATACTGAATAACATGACTAAGATGAATCACGAGGTCTACGGATTTGTTGCTGCTATTTAGACCGCGCTTTCTAGTCTTCGTTTGATGGCAGCATTCGAAGACCGAACTGTTGTAACGTTAGAAAATCTAGGTGGTGCCTCATGCATCTCATTATTTAGGTCTTTAGGAATTTTACCTAACCCTTATTAATACAGATAACAGTAAGTGTCGGAAAATAGCTTGCAAGCCTTCCCGAACTATATTCTAGGGTATAAACAATTCGTAGATCATTGAAATTCGTTCACTATCACGGATTTGCATATTGCTATAATGTGCATGTACGCGTTTCCCATTAGTATTATGTAGGTTGCCTCCGTTTGTTTAAAAGAAAAAACAATTAAGCTTGCTTTCTTCGACAATCTTGTACTTTGATGTCTTTTCTGTTGAATGGCATGAATGCGGATAGAAATCTTTGTAGCAAGCGCTAACAGCTACCGGACCTATGCCCCCCCCCCCCCCGTGTAACGGCAATAAGAAAATAGAAAAAATATTGAATGAGTTCTTTTTGATGATTTTTATTTTTTATGGAGTATTATATAGATATCGCATGTTTGCCGGGTAGTTGTATTGCGAACGACTTCGGGTCTCTTGTACTCAAGGTCTGAGGCGCGAGTGTATTTCGTGTCTTGATCGTTTGTAATGCTATACCTCTGTTACATTCTGGTAATAACATACGGTGAATATATATATATATATATATATATACATACTATGATGTATATGATAACTGGATTTTAGGAAATTTTATCAAGATGCGCAACGATTTCAAAGTACGTTTTTTGTAAATAGTGATTTATAAATATTAGCCTGTCCTCTGTATATTTCAGGTATGTTCGACTATGAGCTATCTTGCAATGCGCCGTTGCATTCACAGGAACTTAGCAGCAGAAAACTGTTTCATAGAAAATGGTAATGTTGTCAAGATTGCCCATGTTGGACGTAAGAGGTAAGCGCACGTTTCTAGCGTATCATATTATTCCATCTGAAATTCATTACCATGTAAAATGTATTTTATGATCGACAACTATGTATCAACATCCAAGTTCTGGCGAAACTTCTCCCATAATTACCGTTTTAGTGGTTTGTAAATGGTGAACTGACATTTTGACCTTGATAGGCTTCTCTACATTCTTTGATACCAGAAGATCTACACATCCTGGTGATGGGGTATCCATTTATATTTAATAAATTTATCTTGTAAGTATATAGGTTAAAGTTAGATACATGGGGTTCACACTATCATGTTATTATAACGATTTTTTGTTTTTGTATGGCTGCAGTAACTTTATCACAAGAAATTTCTTGGGCGCGATTTATAGTTCCTCAACTTGTTACTATTACATCCACTAATGCCGCGTATCATGTAAGCCCAATCAATAGCTCATTCGTTAAGAAAGAGGTAGCGAGTCTAAGCTAAGTGGGTCCATAGCTGATTTGAGATATTTTTTAAGATCTTTGTTTGACCGCGTTCTGAGCCTTGCGTACACTTGATGTTGTGAAGTCTACACCCACTAAAACTTCGAGCTTCAATAACTTAAGCCGTTACCTGAAATTATTACTTGTGTTTTACCTCGGGTCGGTTTCGGATTTAGTCCATCTCATGTGTTTTCAGGTTTATAAGGTAAACCACTGCATCATGACACATTGTAACTTCACTTATGAGATTTTAATCTTTCGCAAAATATTTTCAAATCACCTTTGACAAAATATTTCCTCTCTAAATCTGGCTGGTCTTGCATGTAAGCAAGGCTATAAAGGATTATAATTGATAATAAGAACATTGATGCAAACTAAAAAAAGATTTTGTGGATTTATTCAGATACAGATAGGTGTTAACTTTAACACACGTTCAGTATTTTATAGATTTTTTAGAAATGTGGCTGAGTTATTAATTAATTCAGTTAAAAAATAATTATTTAAAAAACTTAAGAGATCAAGATGAGCACTGAATGTCATCCTGCCCTATATACTTCCTCTATGATATTTTTCCTATCGGACACCTATTCATAGAGGCATTTGTTTTGGCTTGTATGCAAATAGTAGACTGTTTATTTGAACAATTTTATAACGGGGATTCGCAGTGTGACTATTTCTCAGATGTCAGCTCGGTAACAGGAATCAATAAATACAATTAATGATAAGTGATTAGCCCAGATCATACGTGAAATGTGGTTTTGAACACGGTTCCCCATACACAGACATCGTCTGAAATCGTAAAGTCTCTAGGCGGATGTTAAAATTTTAGAATAAAACTTTACCTTGAGATTACAGAGTGGTCACGAGGGTCTACACCTGTGTTGTTGGGAACTGTGTAACGAACAGATCCGCGGAGTTATATTGCAAATTTTCAACGTACTTGATATTGAATGTATGTTCTAGGAAATCTATTGTGAACAAATACACACTATTCGGAGATAAGAAAAAGCATTTTGCATGGTTATCTCTTGAGGTTCTTGAGCAGTCGCGCTTCTCTCATGAGTCCGACGTTTGGGCATTCGGTATTCTTATGTGGGAGGTGAGTCCCAAAAATCTTTTGCATTATAGCTTTTGCATTTCTTCTTCTCGTACATCAAGATTTCGGCAAGTAGGTGTAGTAGGTGTAGTAGGTAGACTTCCTCACACTTGTTTGTCCTAGAATAAAAAATGATCCAATCCTAAAATCGTAGGCTGGCTATTAGAAAAATTGAAATTTATAGGTGGACCTTGAAAATTAGTAAAATTATTAAGATGTATAATCTCAATTAAAAAATAGAAATTCCAGCTTTTAAAGTTTAGGAAAAAAGCTTTCGTTCTAAGAAAAACTAACTCAGAATATGAAAAATTTTAATTTTTCAAGAGCTGAAGCCTCTTAGAACTGTTTCAGAAACCATCACGCTCTTATTACCTTTGTGTCGTTTCAAACGCTTCCTATAGGTTTTTCTATGCTGCTTCGCTTATAGGTATTCGCCTTCGGCAAGCATCCTTATGGTAGCCTGGATTGTGACGCCGTCATAGATTTTCTTCAGACTGGCAATAGGCTAGACAGACCTGACAATTGTCCCCTGGAAGTTTACGATATGATGCAGCTCTGCTGGGACAGGTTAGTAGTTTGAGGTCACAGGTTTTCAGTCTAATTAACGCTACTTTGAAAGGTTACTTGAACCTTTCGATTACAGTTTTCTATTACGATTTAGATAAATAACAATTGATGGCGGTTATTCCACTTTTAGTCAGTTTAGGCATTTAGTTCAAGTACTACACGCTTGGACATTTGCATGATCGGTTATAAAACAACTGCCATAGCTTCATAAACATGGAAAGACGATGAGTGATACGAGACTATCCATAGGGTCCATTACTTTATAAATATCTGTTCAATATGCAACAGTGTAGAAAGAAAGAAGTAAAGTGGTCACTACATACGCTCGTGTGTGGGCGCTAAAGAATGTAAACAAAGAGCTGGCTGAAAGCCAGGGCCCGAGCGCAGAAACCACTGGCGAGATAAACTGGCGCAAAAGACAGGGCGCCGAGACAAGGGACGGAAGCGGTGGGTCAGCCTGAAAGACTGATGTCGATCGAGAAAAGCCTGATGAACAAGAAAGGTTAGACTGGCGAAGATACATGGCCATTACGATCGCACGAAGTCGCCACATGCAGACCGTAAAGATTCTGGGCAGGAAAGGTGCCACGGACATTGTTCCGTTGGGGAACTATGACGACAGCGCGTAGCCACTGGAGAAGCGTAGCAACAAACACGTGACACCAACAAGAGAAAACAGCACCCCCGCACTGGGAACACACGAACGCTGTATGAACGAAGCACAGCTGACAGAGATGACCGAGTGTTACGGTCAAGAAAGTCTGAATTAGCATCTGTTTATTATGTAGCAGCTGCTAGTTCAAATGCGGTTAGGGTATGAAAACCCTAGCCGCGATCCGATATACTGAGTCTCCGACGAACGGCGTAGTCCTTAACAATTTATATATACATACATATTTGTTCGTGGACTGTTCATTAAATGGTTAAGCATAAATAGTGTTGAATTATTATATATACATATATATTAAAACCGCCACCTGCAATTACACTATCCGACTCACTCTGTGTTCTCAATAAGCGTTGACCTGCTCATTTTTTTCTCTCTTTACACATATATAATTTACAACTATTAATTATTTTGATTCCGCTATCATACATTTTTTTCCTATCAAGAATTGTTAGGTGGTTCAGTATAAAATTCAAGTGAACTCTAAACTTTTTTCTGTTAATGTATACATTATAATTATATATACGTATATATAACTTTCTGCCATCTGATTGGAAAGTATTTATTTCAATGCTGTATAAGGCTGGAAATCTGTTTAGCCTGGTTAAATAACCCGAGCCATTTGATGTGTAGCTTTTCCATTGCCTATTCCAATTGTTGAAAGCACACTTCAGCCGACCGTCAGTCACTAATTCAACAAACAAACCCACAAGCTACAGTTACATCCATTCTCTGATGTGATTATTTGCGATAGAAGATTATTTTCATCACAAATTACAACGAAAGCACTATGCAGTGTTTTTACGTGCTCGTTTTCGATTCCTGTCCAAATAACGCTTAACCCTGTTAGAAATGTGTCAGTTCCCATTTTAATTCTCAACTTCACACAGGATTTTCAACAGGACGTGTTTGCGAGTTCAAAATTTTCTTGGAACTTTTTAAATCAAAATTTCAGGATGTTTTTATTAGCAAATACTTCATCGCGTACGAAATTTATAAGGCAAAGTGTCTTTGTCACTCGTATATTCGCAAGCCATAATCCTGAATAACTCGAACTTTCTAATTATTAATGGCTTACTGTTGCCCTTTTACTAAAAATCTGATTAGCCATATCCGAGTGAACGATGTTATATTAACAAACAATGGCCCTATTTAGGAATGAGATGAACCTTTGTTATTTCATACTGACGTATCTAACATTTTTAGATACCACTTTAATTCTATTCCATCACCAGTAGGCCAACGACAACTTCACTGTTGTCTTTGGTCCATTATTTTCCTTAACCTATGGCCGCTGTCCTTTGTCGTTTCTCTGGCATATGACTTAATAATATTCTAGGAATCCGAACAACCGGCCCACATTCGCACAATTGCAGGATCAATTCATGGAGCTAGGAAAAGAGGATACCCAAACTAGTCTAAATGACTGACGAGCAATAACAGGCAGACAACAGTTTAACAAGTCAGGATTACAGGCGACAGGTTATAGCAGGTTAACAAGTTAAGAATACCCATATACCCAATAATAACAAGTTAACCCTTTTAAAAATATTCCTTCTTTTGAATTTTATGTTATGCATAGACGTATCGGACTCTTAAGCAGCAATCAGTCGTGCTCTCAAAACTTTACGATATAAAACGTATCTACCCCGCCTCGGCTTTAATTAAGCAGGTGTTTTTCAACTGCAACCCTTTTAGCATAAGAATAGTTTGTAATGTATATCCAGGACTTTTTGAATAAACACCCTGAAGGTTTAGACACGGTGTCATGATATGTAATGTTATAATCTAGCATATATAATAAAATATTAGACATGATGAAAAGTTAACGAAACTAGGACATATGATCTGTAGTTTGTATCGTATTGATGCACCCAAGAGACTAATAGTTATATACATCGTCACTCATTTCGAAACCATGTTTGACCAGGCAGAACTTCGAATGAGCTTAGTTTGGCGCGTACGTCATAAAATTATTGACGATGAAGCTATATGCAGCATGTACAGTTCAAGCGTTTAATAAAAGAATCCAGTATGCTCAGTAATGGTTAAAGCACACTGGCACTCGTAATGTGTAACACATTCTACACGTACACAAATGCATCATCACAATGGCGCTGTTGCTACTGTCGATGATGCTATTTCGTTCAAGTAGTGTCTGGGGTGGTTAGTGTATGTTCTAGGGAGGATACTTTCCTGCTAGACAGCCTACGCTAGATTTTTTGCTAACAAGAGCATCATGATGTGGCCACTGAAGCTTGATTCTAGCCCTCAACAACTGAAATGGTCTACTCCATTGTTTTTACGTTTCAAAGATACTTGAGTTGACGACAGCTCTCTAGCAACGGTTTCCCTGTCGTTCTTTCGCTTCAGCGGCAAGGCTTACCACCGTGGGTGGTATCAAGTCAACTCATCTCGAGAGTGCCGCCTACTTTGTCTTTACCTATTCAACTAAACTTTACGTAGCATTATCACAGCGATTGTTCTTATCGTCTGCTACCAGTGATGGCGAATCTAAAGCCAAGGCCCCAGTTGTTCAACGGTAAATCATAAATAATAATAACAGCTTCGGCACAGTGTCAAGAGCTAGAGGAAACCAACGGAACAAATATTAGGATGAAATTATTCAATTTTGAGCTATGGTCGACACGACGCGTCACTCGCTATGCTGAACACAACTTCATTTAGAGAATAATGGAAATTGATAGACAATAAAAGTACTGACTTAGAAGAGTCGTCTTATTTGCAAATTGCTATTTTAAAACATAAATAAAAGATGCTGACAATCAAATGAGTTCCGTAGATAACATCATAGTCAAGTGTTACGTGACAATGCGAAGCTTGCTATGACAGACGGTAACGAAAGCTCACTGATTTTTTCCCTTTTAGTACCGCTCTTGCTACTTCAGGCTAGAAGCAGCTTGCGCTGCCATAAATAAAAACTATCGAAACTTTAGGTGTTGGCCTTCGACCTCTGATTGACATGCGGAAACCTACTTAATGTGTACATAATGCTATGTTACTCACTTCAATATAGACATAATCATTTTCACGTAATCGAAAAAAGCGTTGAGTTGCGAATATGTCTAAAAATATTATCTCAAAAGCACGTATTGCTTTCCTATGAGCTGCAGGGCTTAATTTTGCAATCGTATGGTCCTGCGATCTGTTCTGGACAGGACGTACTTAGATGTTCCATGGCGCGTCAGCAGTAGCAGCAAGAAAACGACCATCTGTTAACTGTTAAGTTGACTGGTTGACTGCAGACAAAGGAAAAGAAACTGGTTGGAGAATAAAGGACGAAACATATTTGTCGCAGCAGGAGGCTGAGCATTAAGGATGGATCTGTCAGTCAGCTTGAGTACGGTGCTACGGACACTTTCATGGATCGCTACTATTTATCAATGAGATATTGATATGGCTGAGAAAGCCATCTTAAAACCGCTTAATGGCCATTGGGATCGGTAAAGTTGGGTATCGGTTCTATTGTTCTTCAGGATGGAAACTCCCCCCTCTTGAGATTACTTGCGCGCAAAGACGGAGCGTTCAACAAGCTTACGTGGCTCAGCTAACCGATTGCTAGCTAGCAGTACCCTTATCCGTAATAGAGAAGGGAAGAAGAAAGGAGCTTTTAGGCAACTTTGAAGGCTCCACTTCTTCAATTGAGTATAGCCAACCGGTGGAAAGTGTAGGCAATGCCTATATAAAAAAGTGATGAAATGATGAGTTCACCGCCATTTGTATGCCTTAGTCCACACTTTGTGGATCATGTTAACAAAAGTAATTCAGCATCCATTTCAAGATACAACAAATGATTCTTGTATCTCGAGATCCGGACTAGAGGATAACCCGTCTACTTCAATTATTTTTCGGAGAAACATGTCTTATGCAATAGGAGCTATCCGATGAAACACTGACCACAAAAGTCTTGTGATTAAGTATTCTGAACATAAACAGTGTCCAATTCAGTTCGAGTCAGAGAACAGTCATCGGTCGGTAAGCACTTCGTTTGCTATGAAAAGTGGATATCTGAAAGAAAGTAAGTCATTTAGTTTTGCAAAGTTGGATAAAGTGCACAAGATCCCGGTGCCATCCTTGTGACTGTTTGTATACACGGTAGTGCATTAACGAAAATTGTGCGCCTCAACCTCGAGATATCAAAACACCTCAAAGCCCTCGCGCAATAACACAGAAAGCCAAGTGCGAATACATTTTTATTTCTACAATTTAATTGAAGATCGTCGAAAGTAATTTTATAAACGATACCGTAATAGTCACCTCACCATTGATTGGTTTCGCCCAAAAAAATCGACAATCTTTTCGAAGTTCACAGTTATTTTAACTTGCAGGTAACTAGCAACTTTTTAGGTTTTACTTTACTTCAGGGGTTCTAATAAAATATATAAACTAACGTGTGCGCGTTATGTAGCCCTAGGTGTGTGTGTATTTTTACAACCCATACGCTCCATTGATATTGCAACATTAATTATCGAAAGTAGATTTTTTGGGGAAATGTTGCGCGTTTGGTAACCATAATTTCTGCTTTATATTTCGATGCCGTTTTTGCTACTTAATAATAAACAGAGCTGAAATATAATAGTAAAACATCTCCGCGAAATTCCCATCTTGTTGACGATTATTATTCATGATTTTTTTGCTTAAAGCGTCACAAATGTTCCGAGTAGCCACAAATGTGTGTGACTGTATAGAACCAAGAACAAGGACTTTGAGACAGCCACCCTGATCAGTGTATACCCTACATTGAATGCCTCCTGGAGATATACAATTGGGGTCGCTCACATCTGATTACCACTCTGGGTTCGTACTGTATCTAATAAAAATGTGTCTGAACACAGCTTGTGGTAATCAGTGAAGGTGACCCCCTTTCTTCACAAATATCTCTATTGAATTATCTTCGATCGGCGACCGATGTAATCATGTATAATAGGTAAGTAAATATTCCACTGGTAGATAAAATACATTGTGCCACGTGAGATCCGCAGTTTAATTTATCCGCAGTAAAAAAGGCGTTAAACGACTATGAAATAACTTATGCCTCTCTGTTTGAATTTCATGAAACTGAGCTAATATGCAAAGGCAGTAACAAGTTGGGTTTGTTTTACAACAATAAAGCGAATAAAAAGAATATCACATGTCAGTGACAGCGCGGAGCATTTAAACTCAGTATATATACATATGTTGAGTTGTCGAAGAAGCATTCATTTTTCCAAGTAAAAATTTAAGCAATATAGTAAAAGACATAATGCTTAACTAAGTGCCATTTTGATCAATAATCTTTTGCCATTTTCATACTTTATTTCACCATAATCTCAGCATTGTAGAAAAAAAAAATAGTCACAAGTGGTTTTTACATCCCTTCATTGAAACTAAATTATCGTCACGAAAAGAGCTCTGCAGTGACCGAAACAGACCATAGCCTAATGCTACAATATCCGTCCTATATAGCAGACGCATTGAAAATGCATACCCAAGTTATTTCAATTTTTGGCGGGTCGCGAAATATCTGTGTGATCTGGCGTTTTCATGGTGAAGTCAGGTCACTAGCTCAGGTCAATTGTTTTTCTATACCTTGTTATTTTTATAATCTGATTATAATTTTCTTATTTATCGATAGTAGAAGATCCGAATCAATCAAGTTTTACCACTGGCAGCAACTTATAATGCACGAATCCTTTTCAATTCGACCAAGCAGATAGCATTGCCTTCCGCCAAGGTCTAGGCTTTGTTACAGACTGTGGGATACTTTAAAAATCTTTTTTGCACAGTATTGTTGTACGTGGTCTGCTTATTATCACCCGCGATCAATGACTTTAGAAATTTTGGCTCGATTCCGTTGCGTCGTTGTAGAATATTGCAAATGGAAATAAGATCAAGTAAATTCGTTTGTATCAATTCGTTCGTGTGACACCCTAATGTCACATTTTTTTGTAGGCAACTTTCTGCAAATGGCTTAAAACTATTTGGTGGTGGATGTTTAGTTCCATCACAACCTCAAGTTACGTATGTGTAGATTTTGCAGTGAATTCATCAACTTTTTCCGTAACTGACTGACCATTACGAAGACCACCATTTTCTTAAGGGCCGTTTCTTCTGATGACATATCTCAACCATAAAGGGCAGATTGTTCTATGATCCCTAGCAGTATTTGTATCTTTATCATTACATAATTGTAAAATATAGCAGATCTTTAAAGAAATTTTACTCATTCTCAAGGCGTTTTATCTCAAATCTGAATAAAGACGTTTCAACAATGAAAGCGTATGGTGACGCCGGCGCTGACCTAACGCGATGCATACTATCTGAGATATCCGACTTTAAACGCCACTGTACTACATGAAAAACCTATTGACAATTTGGCTTTGTATCAACTATGCATGCACCTATGATCTTAATCCAAGTTGCCATCTACGAAGTTATCCCCGAAGGATACAGCGGACATCCTTACTGTTTTCTGAATTTAACTTTAGGAATAGATTTTAGCTCTGCTCTTGTTTTTGCTTAAATTGTCTTGATTCTTTCAAAACTTTTTTCTTTTAGGTATTTCTTAAGGTTCGACAAAATAAAAGGTTAGGGCAGCTAAATATGGTCAATATATAAGTTGCAGCTACGTAGGCGTCAGTTTTTCTTGTAAAAAAAAAGAGATTTCGTTTTCCTGCACCGACGTGTTAGGCACTACGTTATCACGATGGCGGACCCCCTACGTGTTTTCTGGAATTCTTATCCGAAAAATTTATCAGTTTTTTCCAGCCCCAAAATTTAGTAAATTTTTTGGATCTTATGTCTGCACACCAGGGTCTCCTCACCTTTAGTCAGATAGTAAAGCAAATCGGGTTCTTGTTTTAATACGCTAAGATTCCCATGAAACAGTTGTTGACAGGTCTGCACCCGTTCCAAAGTCGGCTCCTTTGCTATGTGAGCTTTCTTGCCTGCAAATAATCATGAGAAGCTTAACTCTGCAAATTTCTGAGGGTGACTTGACAATTCTTCAGCATAAGTTTGTTTGCTTTTTCCGCGTTTTCGCTCTTACTCGCTGCAACAGGATGCCCAGGAAAAACGTCGCCTATTACGTTGCTAACTTGTTGATGACATTCAGTAATTACTAGTAGACCGGCCCTCAAAAGCCTTCCGTAGCATACTATGCACGCTCTTTGGTGTTCCGTTTTCATAATACAAAAAAAGCGAAACACATTTCAAGGCCAGTGACTTCAAAGATCTGGTAACATACAAATCGTTGAAATATTCGTAAAATTTAGCCTCTAAATATTAAGCTGCTAGTAGCGAGTTTGCTGTATCTTGAAATCGTACAACTTTTTAACTATAAGCCGCTGGTAGGCGGAACTTGGCTTAGTTACTAACTGAGGCTCCTCAAAGAGCTTCTTCTTCTTCTGAGAGCTTCTGAAAGTTCACTAAAAATTCGTGAAGATATTAGGCAAGGAGGCGTAGGTGTAAACGTTTCAAAAACGGGAATTAGAACGTTAAATATTAGCTAGAAAGTGACCCGATTTCCAGACCCAGAGGACGACGCATAGCCGCAGCGCAAATAAAAGTTGGTGTCTAGGGACTCTTCTGTCAAAGTTGGCATTTCACATGTGACGCGTTACAGAATTATAAAGCCAATATTGGAAATGTAAAAACAGAGCAAACAGGAGTCCCTCGTGAAATGGTTCCAGGCCAGTTGGGAATTCGTATGCTCTATTTTACCTGTAATTTGCAAAACCCAGATTAATAAAAAAAGAACCAGCCTGAAATATGATTTAGTATCCACCGCCAGCCGCAATATAACCCAGGCGAAAGAACAGTGTCGTCCTGGAGAGAAACTGAGTTCGCTGCCAGTTTCGGGTAGGTTCAAACGTAGCTGTTGCGATGAACATCGGGAGTATCTGCTACGTATAAGTAGTACTACGAGATAGTGGCCGAAAATGCAAAAATGAATGCAATACGCTATCTATAGTCCCCAGAAGAGTCGTGGATCGTCGGCACTACAATCAAAAGCATGCAATCTTATATTTGGCAACAATGCTAGGCTTAATCGTCATGCCTCAATTATTCCGGGACTTAGCAAGAGAACATTTTACAATGGCTTATTCTCCCGACCTAACTTCGTGTGACTACAGGGCCTTTTATGCCCCAAAAAATTTAACCAATAAGCAAACATATCTTATTATTAATATATTTCGATAAATTAGAATCGCCAATGCGAGGTACCTGGTTATCGAGAGGCTGCCAGAGCGCTGAGACAAGCGTGTAAAAAACAAATAATGCGTATTAAACCATTATCATTCTAGCCAAAGTAGAGCAAAAAGTGTTCAGTTTCAACGACGTCGGTCCGATTCGCTTGTAACGGGCCAATAGCAACCAACGGTAAACCAAACAAACAGATAAGTAGGGTAACAAACCGGCCTTAAGCTGTTCAAACCCTTTAACGGCGATTCATCGATATTTTTGACGTAACAGTTCATCAAAGGAAGAAGGCAGGACACTGCATTCATATTGTTCAGTATACACTGTCAAATTCTCTTCAGAGAAAACTCACAATAATAGTATAGAAGCAAGCAAAAACTGGCTAGCTCCATGTGTACGCTCCTTTCTCAGTAAGATTAAGTGAGCAATACGTTGAAACAAAATTGCCTCGTTTTCCAGAGGTGTGTACCATCGTTCACGTATATTTTAAGTTTTACAAAGCTAGATACCATACGTTTTCTCACACCAATAAAAAATAAATGGAAAACTATACAAAACGATCTCTCGTAGGCAAGCGATGCTTTTGCCCTACAAAACACTTCAATAATCCTATTATTCAGAGATCTCTCAGAGAAAATTCAGTACTGGTTGAATAATTCCTTTATGCCTTTAAGAAGACGTATTGACTATAAGAAGATAAATCAAAAAGCTTTCACGTCTGCCAAACCTTATCGCATTAACTCTTCACTACAAAGCAAATTCTTTAGATATATTTTCACTGTTTTGCCTAGAAGCCTTTTTTCAAAGTCGGCCAGGGTTGTGATTGTGTGTGATGATTGCGTTCTTGTTCCCAGTTATTTGCCCCTACCTACAAGATTTACAGCAGTAAACCAATGGAAACACAAATAGTAAATAACGTTTCAGTTTATTCTCCGTTCCTGTTTAACTATTATGAAGATAACTATTATTGTACACAATAATTTATATTATTTTCATTTTTCTCAGTATCATCATAACGATAGTTGCCAACTATTGCTACCGATCCCCTTGCTGCTACTGTTTGTAGTGTGGTATAATGCTACTGACACCTCAGTTTATCATCTATAAAAGTGGCAATCATTGACAACAGCAGGTATATTTATCTGTATCAGCTCTAGTCATAACAAAAGGACTTCTCCGTTTGATTTTAAACTTGTTTCGGTGATAGCGCTGTGGGTAACGTGTTTGTCAGCTAAACTTATGTTGGTGATCCAGACGCTTTGCACACTTTGTTTTGCGTTGGGAGCCAAGCCTTTGAAGCGATGGTTAGCGGTACAGTCATGAAACGTAAAAAACGAAAAGCTAAGGTGGTAAAACTTGCAATTTCTCCTATCCCATAGCGTAGATATATATAGATTGGATATAATATGGATCCCATAGTGTAATATATAAATAAATAAAAATAATTGTACTGTCTTCCTGCAAACGGGTAGACCTTATATAAATATAGGTTGATTGAATTCGAGTATGGTACAGACCGTAGCCTTTTTCGCCTATACGAGTTATATAAATACTGGAATTACTCCTCGAATTGTCTGAATTCGACGTTGATTTCGAGTTGCTTTTTTTGTTTTTGATAAACATCGTATTGAGAAATAAATTTGACAAAGGCACATATGTTATTGAGTGCATCGAAAGGGTCGATTTTAGCGCGATAATTGCTCTATGAGCTATCAATATAAGTGAAAGTCATCTCTATATAACCTTTTTAATCTCTTATGTGGATTATTGTGAGTTCAGAGTCAAATCACATAGATGCATCCAACTATGAATTAAATAACAAAAACAGCCTCAATTCAAGATGATAAGAATAAATAAGGTAAAAATAATCAATGTCAAAAATTTAACAGTCGATTCAAGCTTCTGCAGTCGTTCATACATGTTGACAGGTTTTACAAACTGGGAAAAAGGGTTTGCCACACTTGTGTATTTAACAAATGGGAGAGAGGGCTTTTGAGGGGTGCTTGAATGGATAAAATTGTTTCACCGCACATCGCAACGAATTTATGTTATACTGAATATCCGTACCACCTATCCAACTATCACGACTGATGGCCAACAGGATAAATTTAAGGCTGGAATATTTCGCAATATTCAGTAATACTCTTTTCATTCACATACACAAATTAGCACCAGGCTGGCTATTACCAGTTCATGCAATGACTTGGGTCACCATGTTGGTTTCTGGGTCTATCTGACGCCTGCTTTTTATTACGTTATACCCATTATACAGTTGCAACATGGTTTGTCTTTTTCCATTATGCATTTAGTTCGACATTTCTGCTGAATCAAGCATCACCGTAAACTAGGCTTTCCTACAATTTCGGTGCACACAGATCAAACGAGGAAAAAATAAGCCTTTGACCAAGAAAATAAAACATCTGCAACAAGTACTAAAATATTGCCTACTTGTTACTGTACTACTAGAATCACTAAACTAACGTCTATTGGCCCCGTTCTGCCTTTAGATGATACAATTATTGTAGTATCAGAAAAAAAAGCAAACGTATATGCCACGTAAAAAATCATAAAAAGATGAATTAACACTTTATATTATGAAAGCTATCGTTACCCATAAGTACTTCTGTTGATTATATTGAAACCATTAACGATTACCTACCAAAGAAAATTAGTGCTATCCACTATGCTTTCACAGATGATGATAGCCTATTATATTCTTTTTGGTTTTATGTCTCATTTTACTGGAATTCCCTCTCTTCCATGACTGAATTCATTAAATTATTATAGACAGGAAATTGTTTTCATTTATTGTCAATATCGTTGTTCTTATTGTTTTATTTTCCCTTCGATTTTAAATAGGATGGGAAATAATGTAGTAACCAGCCAAGTTTTACCTCCATTATTAGCGTGCATAGTAATTATCGTGCATTGCTGTTATATTCCACTTACTGAATAATCGATCCCATTCTCACGTATAAAACTGTTAATATGAAGGCTGCATCAACTAACCCATAAATTAACATGCAAGAGTCGCAAACCTTACTTACACTTACAAGATCAACTTAATTAATATTGGTTACTATTAAGTGCCTAAAAATATGTCACTCGTTAGTCAACAACTCCTGTAATACTTCATATATGTTCTGTGTACTATATAATAGTAATAATAAGATAATGTACGAACGCGCACATGCAATATATATATATATGCATCTGCACAGGTCTTGAGGATAAGGTGTAAGAATATATATATATATATATATCTATAGATTCCAACAATTGATGCAATCTATTTATCTACTGATCCTCGTAATTTTTTTCATTTAGATGTATTGGCTACTACTTAGTCGAACCGATCAAAGTTAGTTGATAGTTATCGACGAATACGAAACTTGCACAGCACTCACGCTTTTCCTGTTATCCATCAGCTTAGCACTTCCTACCTTAATTAACCAGACGTAATACTCCGATTTTACAAGACCTATCTTTCCTGTATTTGTTACGAAGTTGAGTTAAGTGTTACTATCTTGTTTTGCTAACAGCGGAAGGGGAGAGAAGCAACAAAAAATACTTACAAGAAAACAAACAAAAAATAGATCGATATAGAATAATTGCCATCATTATATAATCAAATATAAAACTTTCTGCACTCTTACTCTTTTCCAATCCCCCGCCTTTCCGCTTTCTGATATAAGACGACAATAATAACGCTCATCTGATCATATTAATTTCAATATATCTCGTTGTCTCGAAGATTCGTTCATCATCAATCCCTGCACAGAAGTACCTACTCTGTGTACATTTTCATACACGTTTCTATTTTCCGTAAGAACGACAATAGCCAAATATATGAAGGGAACATAAGAGAAATATACAGTATTCCAGTGTTTAGCTAATTCGCATATTGATATATAGATCGCACCACGTGTGGTGTTAGTGTACCTGACTAAGAAATGTTTTCGACGACAATTTCCGCGGAAACTGTATGCACTTAACATGTAATCATCTGTCTTTATTTGTGCTTACCCGCTCTACAATCAATATACTAAATAACACGCAAGTAGATCCAATAAGAACACTCGACGATCCGCCACGAATCAGGACATGCACACACAGACACCCACTTAAATCCATACAAATAGTCTTCATGGTTGCAGCATGGTCTGTTACTGTATGCGCCTATCGCCTTCTTCTCTCATTCCTAAGAGTATAGTAAAAAACAATGTCTATTCTTTTGTCTATGCTACTGACAATGCCTGAT